GTTTTAGGTGTTGATTTTGAGGTTAGAGATGAGAAATCATAGTTATTCATGAGATATGGAAGTTGATTTATAAGTATGTTAGTATATTATAGGTTTTTTGAATTATAAATGGAGTATGTATGGTGTATTTGTTGATTTTGTTACTAAGAAATGATTAGATATTGATATTTTTTTAAACAGTTATCAATGGCACGTAATGTATCAAACATGCTTAATTTGTTTCATATACGCAAGTATGTGATAGAGAATGGTAGCATCAACAATTTTTCGAATATGCCGGATGATGGTTTGTTTGTTAAGGAAAGGTTGTCATATGAGGGATTGATTAGTAAGATTTGTATGACACTTGGTTGGGATCCAACACACGTGAAACTCCATTATTTTGACATAAATTGAATTTTACTCTCTTAATTAACGTCCCAATTTTTTTTTAGGGTGAAGTATTGAACAACAATCACGTGAGTTTCGAGAAGTTTAGAGAAAAACGAGAATATGAGAATCTCCTAGACGAAGAACTCGACAAGCATTTGAACGATATCGTCGATCAAACACATATTGCTTTAATCTTGGGTGCAAATGATGAGATGGACGTGAAGGATACCCAAATCTTGGTTGATGAAGATCCATCATTGCCCTCACAACCTCCGCCGAGTAAAAAAGCGAAACCGTGATCGAGAGATAAGATTGGAAGAGGAAGAAAGAGAAAGGTCCCCATCCCCCACGGACATCGCAACAACAAACTGAGGGTCAAAAAAATGAGAATCAAGCACATTCTTCTTGAGGCTCGTGCATCCAGGTCGAGACTCAATTTGAAAACATTGGTGGACCCGAGACTCAGTTTGACCTTGATGGACCCGAGACTCAGTTTGGTGGACAGTCGCAACCACAACCGGAAGTCTTATTTCTCACCATGGGGGAGTCCCAATCCCAACCCCAACCCGAGCCTCAGCTTGGTGGACAGTCGCAACCACAACAGGGTTCAATACTCACGTATCTTAAGAGAGGAGACAGGATCCCACAGGGCCCAAATAAATACACTCCTCCTGCGCATAATAAAGGAAAAGGGAAAAAATGAGACCTTTGATGTATTTTGCACATTTAAAGTAGTTATTGTATTGATTTTGGTTTGAAACTTGATTTCTTTTGTTGTTAATCGAATGTCGTTTATTGTTTTGTTGCCATTAAATTTCTATTTTCCTATGTTTCATTGTTGTCGATGCTGTAAACAGGTTTTGGACTGGTTAGAACCAGTCCAATTTTTTTTTTCAGTTCTGACATAAACTCGGATTTACGAAATCCGAACCCAGACTTTTGTAAAGGATTCGGATTTCGCAAATCCGAATATGTAGTCAACTGGGAGTTAGCATTTTGTAGAAAACAGAGGAGTCGGATTATGGTAAAATCTACGTTTATTTGGATTACCGGGATCATGGTTTTCTCAAATTTAATTTTTCAACACATATTTTTTTCTATCCGAAAATTAATATTTTATTCTAGTTTAATTCATACTTAATTTTTATTTACACCTGAATCCTTATACTCTTTAAAATTTAACTCAATCATACTTCTTCTCCGTAAAAAAAACAAAAAAGAAAAAAAAATCAAATTTGTAAATGTCGCCGTTATTCCAATCACAGTAGCGAGCAGCCTTTCTAGATTGATCTCTCTACGACAATCATGTTGGAGGAATTTTTCATGGCTGGATTCCTTTACTAGTGGAGAAAAACATCATGATACTCGTTAAAGAAATCCCCTTGCTCCAATCACAATTGACAATTAAAGATCAAAATTTTCATGTCATTGGAACTCTTAAATCAAAAGGCTAATAACTGGGTGTTGTTTGATGGGTAATGAAGGCGCCTCCAAATGAGGAAGTGGCACCACTCAATCATAAAGTTGAGAAACATGTATAGTAAACTATGTTTATGTCTAGTTATTCTTCAATTCATATTCATTTATCTAAGACACCTCATTCTCTGCATTTGAATTATAAATACAATTCACTCCCTCATCATTCAAAATGCAAGTTTATGTTATCCTAACAAATTAGAACACAATTGTCCGATGTGGTTTCTCCAGGAATTTCTTCTAAAAATTAACTATTCTCAGTCGAAAACAAAAAAGAAAAAAGAAGCATAAACTTTTTTCTCCCCACACTGTCATATTTAATTTGTTTGACTTTATATAACATTAAACAAATATAATTTTCACCATTAGTCGGCGTGTAATTAATGCGTTACGTGCCAACTAATATAGAAAATAAATTTATAATGACGATCTGTAATATGTAACGTTAAATGTTACTGATTTTCATAATAAATTCATTAAATCTGATTCACCAACCCCAACAATTCCTATAAAAATCCCCCCATTCTCTACTCCTTTCTCATCCCATTCCCCATCCCCTCCCCCCATTCATCTCAATTTTACAAAAGCTTTATCAATGGATAACTTATTTGCAATGTCAAAGAAAGGGCCATGCATGAACTGCAAGCTGGAAAAACCTATATTTCTCCACAATGTTTACCGTAACAACAATGTTCTTCGCATTTGCACCTCTTGCTTACTGAAGATCTATCGAGGATCATTTTGTTCAATTTGTTTCGAAGTTTACAAAACAAAAGATCTAATTACCGATCCAAAACCAATCCAGTGTATCATGTGTCCTAATTTAGGCCATTTCAATTGTGTTAAGTATACTTCAGTTTTGGCATCGAATTCGCGTGCGAGTTCGAGTTCAAGTTTGCCCTTTATCGGTTTGCATGCTCCTTACGTTTGTCATTCTTGTTCAGACCCAAATTTTCGATTCTTTGATTGTAAGAGAGATGAGAAGGACCAGTTGGCTCGTATAGATAACAATTTGGCTGAACAATTGCTGGCTGCATCGATTATTTCGCAACGTTCAATGAAGGAAGGCGTTGCTTTGTGCTGGAAACGAGTTGAGGAAAGAGCTTTAAAGGCTTCAAAGGCTGAGAAAAAAGCTAATAACGTTATGGAGATTTATGCAGAATTGGATAGGCGGCGGCAAATCAGAAGACAAAGACAAATTGCTGCTGGAAGAACGAATGTCGGTAGCTGTGGCTAAAAAAACGTTTCCTCAATGGGAATTTAATCAGTTTGAAATATGATTTTTTTTTGGTTGATTAAATGCTTTTGTTGCTAGTAATTTTTCATCAGTGCATTTGAATTAACAACAGAGTTCACATTCATTTAGATATGTCCAGATTATTCTGGATGGTTTTTATTGGTTCAAAAATTAATCATATCTAATTTTTATGAGGTAAGTAATAGTAATTAACTACATATCTTTATCCTTAATTATGCATCATGCAAACATGTGCATAGTAGCTTATAAATTTCAACTCATGATCTTTTTTTTTTTTTGGGTTAATACTCATGATCATATTTATGATAAACAAAATCAACACAATTTTAACCATTTTGTTTTAATTCAAATCAAGTATTTATTAATTTGATTTGTTGAAATAGGTATCAGTTTCAGTTGTGGATAAAATATGACCAATATTTTAAAATAAGGCATTTTGCTCATAATAGATACTGACAATGATGTGTAGTGGTATCATAGTAGCGGTCTAACTTTTTTATTATTATTTTTTACATTTTTTTTATAATAAGGAAGCCAAAGGCTTAGATTAGAAAATATCCCTTAGGACTAGGGATGCAATAGCCTATCTGACTCCAAAAGCTCATGTGGCGGTCTAACTTCTAAAAATGCGTTACACAATCTTTGGACCAGAAGCCAGTTAATCCATTTCCAGCCAAAGAATCTAAATAATCAAGTGCAAAAATAATTTCTCGACACATATACATTATTTGGACAATGCATTCGATCCTTACCGACTCTTTTATATTGTAGATCAATCCAACATGCACTCTCCTCATTACTTCAAGTCATGAAGTACCATAACAATGATATTTTGATGGTCTACTCAATCTTACTAATACTTATCTCTCACACTAACTTTAGCTCAGAAAAAAATAAAAAGTCCTCATATTTTAGTCTCAATCATAACGTAAAAACAAACCAAAAGATTTGTGTTTGAATGATACAGACTCATGCATCATTAACCATAGGTTTGGGTTCCAATTGTCATAAGTATAGAACACTCTAAAATTCTTTGATCAATTGTCCTACCTATCATGGAGTTTAAAATTTTGCCAAGTGTAATTATTTTTCCAACAATCACCTATTATAAGCGAAGAATTATAATGCAAAATCTTATATTCACCAACAAACTATTGAATAAATGGTATCTGTTTCTTTTCAACATTAAATAAGCATATTATTATACCAATATTAATATTCGGTCCACATTTGTGAATAAAGGAGAAAGAAAAGAAAATAAAAATTCAAAGAAAATATGGAAAAATGAAAAAAAAAGCAAGAAAAAGAAGGAAAAATAAAAAGAAAGAACGAGAGGATATTAATTGTTTCCACACAATAATTTGATATGACTGAACATTAATCTTTTATTAGGAAGTCGGTCAACCTGTTTATGGATTTTGGGCACTTTAGCCATTGTAACCTAGCCGGGATAGGAGGATTGGGTGGGGTGGTTTAGAGATTAGAATAGGGGATGGTTATTATCAGGAGTTCGAGGGTTCGATTCTCGCTGGGGTCATCCAATTTTGAAACCAAAAAAAAAAAAACCTAACCTCATCATTTGATATTTATAAATGAATTGTATTTAACATTTTCTTTCTCTTTCTTCCAGACAAATAACACAAAATTTCACATACACACACACGCGCACAATATATATATATATATATATATGTATAAACTAAGTCAAAAGTGTATATGAACCCAAATTTCATAACTCAAAAATTTGTTTCTTTAATTTTATCTTATTTAATAAAGAAAGAAAAGGTTTTTGAATTTTCCAAATATTATCCTTTTGTAAACAAGTGTCTTGAAAAAAGCCAAAATTTATGGACAATGTATTTAAAAAGGAATAACAAAATCTCTCCTTTGGGGCAAAAGCTATATTGAGAGAGGAAACAATTGGTCAAAAAATATTTAGAAAAAGAAAAGGAAAATATTGTTGAGTTTCCTCTCCATTGTATGCGGTGGTTTTAATGTTCTAAGAGAGAGAGAGAGGCAATCCTCTCCTCCCCCTCCCACCTACTATCGCTTTCTCCATTGATGCCACCCTCCCTCGTCGTCCCATCATCGGACGACGAGTGGGACATTTCATCTTGTCCTCCTCCTCAAACATCAACAACACATTGTTGTTCTTGACAAATTATTACAAAATCGTATATCAAATTAGTGTTTTTTTTTTTCTCCTCATTGACAATTTAGATTCTTTTTATTTACATATATAATTGGAATCATCATGGCACCTGCATTGAAACCATTCCAATTACTGGAAATCAATGTGATCTCGGCTCAAGATTTGGAACCAGTCTCCAAGAAAATGAAAACCTATGCGACTGCATGGGTGAATACTAGGAGGAAACTCTCTAGCCGTGTGGATGCGGGTGGCCATGTCAATCCTACATGGAATGATAAATTTGTTTTCCGGGTTGATGAGGAATTTCTCCGACAAGATACCTCCGCCGTGCAAATCGAAATCCACGCCGTGCATTGGTTTAAAGACACCCTTGTCGGCAGCGTTCGAGTCCTTGTTGGTAACCTCATTCCCCCTCTCCTCCGATCCCAACGTCACAATAGTCATGTTGGCATGCGTTTTGTAGCCCTCCAGGTATATTACATATTCCTACTGCATACGAAATGTTTGCAGTTTTTATGTTGATTAAATAAACGAAAACTCTTATTTATGAGTTGGTGAAATTATGACATTTGACTTCTGCATACGAATTTGCAAAAAAAATATTATACATTATATGTTTATATATGTTATGAGAAGATATACGTTGAATTTTTCAGGTGCGTCGTCCATCGGGTCGTCCACAAGGGATATTGAATATTGGGGTAACATTGCTTGATAGCTCTATGAGGAGCATGCCCTTATACACACAATTAAGCACATCCGCGGTCGGGTATCGTGATTTTATGGGCGAAGATGATTCCTACCTTCACAATACTACCCTGAACAATGGCAGTGTCCAAAACTCGAGCTTAATGGCGAAGAACACCAACGCTAATGCGTCGATTGTGAAGCCGATTTTGCGACGAACAAAGAGTGAGCGTAGTGAGCGTGTGACATTTGACAATAGTTCTACAGCTGGTTCAATGGTGTCAATCCCATTGAAGAAGAGAACGGCTCTGGAGAAGGATAATTCCATCATTAGCATTTCAAATGAACCATTTAAAGGTTTTCCTAAGAAAGGGAAGGCAAGTTCAGTGATTAGTGGTGCTGAATTAAGAGAGAAAAAGTCTCATAAGGGCAGAGGAAGAAAAGGGAGTTCAGTTGTGAGTGATTCAATTATGAGTAAAGAATCATCTTTCATTAAGCCAACTACGAATTCAACAAAGAGAAATGATGTAAAAGTTGGTGACAAAGAGAAGGTTGGTGGAAGTGAAAAGGAAAAAACCGGTTCTGATCATAGCAATGCAACTGATCCACAAGCTAAAGGAGTTGATGACAAATATGTCACAGTTTCCAAGACAGTGCCTCCGCTGAGGGACCCGCCTAAGATGATGGCCATTGGAAAGCCCATTCCGAAGTTGAATGGATATGAATATGGCGGCCCAAGAATGACCGGTAACAAATACGTGGTTGGGGCCCCTTATAAGGCCAACTCTATTTGGTCGGATTCTGAGGTGGGCCCTTCCCCGTCGGAGGTGGCTGCGGCGATGGCGGAAAGAAAATATCCTTTAGATGAGGAACGGAGTTCGGTCTTGGATGGCTGGAGCATAGATGAAAGTGTGGAAGGACTTAGGTCGAAACTAGAGAGGTGGCGAACGGAACTCCCGCCATTGTATGATCGCGGTTACGCCTCGAGTAGCTTCCGATCGACCGGACAACATAAACGGAGGAACACCGATGGTAGCACCGGGATGTTCTCATGCTTTGGTAACATATATGGTTATGAATGCCAATGCATTTGTGGCAAGCCACCGGAAAGGAAAACTCTGAGTGCAAGGTACCAAAGCCCATCTGTTGGTAGTCGATCATTCTTCTAAACAAGAAAAGCCCAGGTAAAGAAATGGGCTGGTCTGTGATCAATGTCTATAATCTATTTGAAGAACAAATGCGGTGTCCAATTCCTGAACCTGGGCTCGAGCCTCTTTAAAGAAAAAAGATGTCTGGAAAATAAAAGATTAATCACAGGTCTATCTTTGTTGTTGCAACTTAGGTCACTCTTTTCTTGCTCATCTCTTCTAATCACTGTTTTTGTTTTTTTTTTTTTGTTTTTTTAATTTGGTTTGTTTGTTTGTAAAGTAAGACAAATTACTAATCAGCATTTGCTTCTGCTGTGCATTGTGGATTTACTCAACTATTTGTCTATGTATATTAATTTGTGGGATAAGTATGTATTGAATTTCATGTGTATAATGTTAGATATTAAATTTCCAGTGTGTTGTTTCATCTCGATAATAATTGAGTAACAATCAAGTCGTATTCCAAGTAGATTTACAACACGGTAATTTTCATATGCCGCATTCGGAGCATTATTATTCTCTAAAATACTCTCTTCGTCCCATAATTATTGTCCAGTTTGGGTTTTCACTTTTAGTACAATTTGAACTAAAAATGAAAACTCAAACAGGACAATAATTATGGGACGGAGGGAGTATGAAATTTTAGATTATTTCTTATTTCGCATTACAAATTTTCATCAAATTTGTGTCTAAAAAAACGCAACAAAATACAGTGAATACGCACCAATGAGCGGCGGGGAGACACCATCATAGCAAAGTGTATTATATCTATAGTAACATATTTCAGGTGTCGAATTTATTATGGCAATGATGGATCTATTCTGCATTATTACAATTTTGAGGACCCTGCCACATATGCCTTTTTCTCAATTTCAGTACGAAGTTGGCATGGCATATATGTAGCCATTATTTTATATTGTAGTAGAAAAATTACGAGAAACAGATAGCAATTTTTATAGGGAAATTATTTACCTTTTAAATACTAAAATTAACTGTTAATATGAATCAAAGAATAATAGGTATAGTAATTTTTTCGCTCTAAAATATCAATTAAATAATCATTTTGAGACAGAAAGAAATACGTTAAAGTACTAATTGTAATATCATACAGTGTTGACGAAAAACTTATATGTCCGGTTTGAGTATATATTAAATAACAACATAGTTTTAACTTTTAAGCTTACAATTCTTTTTTACGCTGTGTTATCGATCAATTTTTTTTGTTTTCCATATCTTTTCTTAAGAAAATTTGAAATACACCGGTTATATATATTTGATAAAAGGACAATTACTCTGAATCCGAATTTTTTCTACCACATAAAATACCACGGCTTGACATTTCTCCAACCTCTAACGTATGTTTAAATAAGTGAAAACCTAAAAGTGAGTAACTTGATGAGATATATTCTTCAACAGCTTTGATCATTAGTTGAGTTGGCCACCAAAATTAAGGAACCTATATTTCTAGCTCTGTTAAGTTTATTTAGGGTTCAACTTTTAGAGTCTGTCGAAGGAGGGGGAAAGAGAACAGTCCATATTGGATCTCGTAATGAATTTGTGGTTGATACCCTAGTTAGAACGAAAAATTAGTAATGTGAGCTTTTTAGACTTTAACCCCTTCATTGCAGCACAATTCAAAAAAGAAATAAATCTAAATAAGATGATAATTAAATGACGAACTACGAAAAACTAGTAGATGAAATTTGTACTATCTGCCTTTTCAATATTAATAATAATAGTAATAATAATAATAATAATAATAATAGCAATAATAGTAATAATAATTAAAAAAAGCCATGTCCTTTAATAATAATTAAATGGATTTTTTTCTTCCCTTGGAAGTATGTATACTAGTATCATAGAACGTACTATATATAACAATCACATTCTAACTCCTTAATTAATTTATTAAACCAATATACTGTATGTGACATGCATGTTTTGGCTTCTTACTTTTAAAACCTAAAATGTAACATGTCAACTTGAAAATGAAAGTAAATATGTATTTGTATTCCCAATATTGATATTTTTATAACAGAAAGAAAGTTATAGATGTTATATTATTTAATATCAACTTTATGAATTATAATTTTGGGAAGATTAGAATAAGAAATTTATGTAACACAATACATATATATAGTATTCTACCGTCCAAACAAGATCATACATCCGTTGTAAGGCTTAGACCCACAAAGTAACACCCATTGGCGGATGTTGTTTTGGTGTCCCTACTTTCCAAAACAGGGTTTTGTGCTAATTGTCTTCAAAATAGTAGACACAGATTTAGAAAGAAAGCATGGAGAAGCCAACTAAATTTAGAATATTTATGTTTTTTGTTTTTGTAAAAAGACTCACACTCACTACCTAAAGTCACCCCCTTTTTGATTTGGTCATTTAACCTTTAAATTTAAGGTCTTTTTTTTTCTTTATTTTTTTTATATCCTAAAGTTTAGCGACATGCACCTAAAAGATTAATTAACATGTCAACCAAAAAAAAAAACATTTGTTTAGATTGTGGTAATCTTTGACACTGTACATTTTTAAGAATAAGGACAATAACTGTTAAGATTTCTATGATAAAGTGTCCACGATTTTTTACTCCCTTAATCTTGGTTTAAGGATTTGCCATTTGTCCCTTTTCCATTTTTCTGTTCTTCTGTCGGCCATTTAAGAAGTTTTGTAATTAACCTTGCTAATTATACTTAACAAGCATGTTTTCTACTACTCTGAAATAATCAAAGCCAGCAATGTGTAGTAAATTCATTTCACATCTGCATTATCAAGATGGCCGTTTCGAGGATCTTAATTAAAGGGTTGGTGATTAAGGTGAATTTTCTGGTGAGAAAATTCACTTGATTTACACAACGAAAGCTAGTTACAGAGTTTACAGTATATACTTCAAACCTAAATTTTTTACTTGTAAGAAAATAGAGGAAAAATTCACGAGAATCAGTAAATTTTCAAATGACAATATTCTGGGATTGAAAAAAAAAAAATTACATTACTACTTTATCTAGTACACTTATTGTTAAAGTATCATCTTGTTCATCTCATGGGAAATTAGAATATTACCCATAAAAAAATAATAAAATTAAAGTGTCTACTATCTAGATTGATACTGCGAAAACATTATAATTTCATCGATCAACACACTGATAGAATACACTTGGATATGTAATTCTTCCATCAATGTGTGAGTTTTAAAATGTGCACAATCACGTAGTATATGCATGTCAATTTTAATTACGTTAATTGGGGAAAATTGGTCCATATTAAATAGTTGAAGAACCATATTTCCAAATTCAGTTTGATATTAGGGACCAAAAGTCATGTGTGATACCAATTAACTCCAGGGATCCCTGCATACTTTACCCTATACAAAATAAACACACATATATTACAGTGCTCATTGAGCAAGTTATTACGCAACGAGAGAAATAATTTATTTTATTATATTATAAAAAAACTATTTTTAATATAGAATAAATAATGAATAATAACTGTTGTGGAATGACAAAATTTCATCAATAAAATGACAAAGTTTCATTAAAATTGGGTTTTATTTGATTGAGAGTTTGTAAGTAGTGAGAAATCTTAAAAAAAAAAAAAGGTTTGCATTTATTTTTTTCTACTACAATAAAGTTTGATTAGTACATAAAAATGTGGACAAAAATTCTCTTTTCTCATTCTCTACTTTAATCCTTATTACACCATTAAATAATTCAATTTTTTTTTCATTTGATTTGATCTTGTGTCAAATGGGTTTATTTTAATTTATGAAAAAAGCTAGGAGTGTAGTGCATGACAGTGAAATAAAGTACAAAGCCACTACTTAAAAAAATTCAAAACAAATGAAGTGTTCTACTCCACAAATGATATTGTCGGGAAAAACCAGTAAACATTGTGCATCATTTTTCTATTAATGAATACCTCCACAAAAGGCTTAGGATTCTTATACCAATTCCTCACTCTTGATCATCTTGTCTGCTCCTTCTCTCTCAGTATTGCTGCTTTTCAGCCATGCTTCCTGTTAAAGAATTTAGCCTTTGATCCCATCTTGAATGTAAAATTATACTCTTTCAATGATATACCGAAACAAAAAAAAAATAAAAAAAATTCTTTAGGCTCTAAAGATAGATTTTAGAAAAACCAAAGAGGTGACAGAAAATCAGAAACAACATTCTTTTGGAATAATGTTTTGCTGCTACCTAATACATTCTTAGGGAGTCGGGACTTAAACCTTAAAACAGAGACATCAAGAAGCAAATTCCATCAAAATTTTAATTTTGTTATAGGTCGACGAAGTTTATTAGTAGTACGTACGACATGTTACAAAATGTGATACAGTTATTGATTTATTGATTAACATGGACGGAAATATATTAAAAATAGTCCGATCACAGGTTATTATAAGAGCCGACAAAAAAATAAATAAATGGAGGACTGATTCTGTCACTTCTCATAAACAAGACTTGCATGCAAAATTTCCTTATCACCAATTGAGGTCAATTGGTGATAAACTGTGTGAAGTATTGTTATACCCTAATTTTCAAGACCTTGTTTCTTATTACTTTCTTTAGAAACACAAGCAAAAAAAATGGGGAGGAAAAATGGAGCAAAAAATGCAAAAGGGATGAAAACTTGAGGAGAAAGATTGTTTTGTTATAGAGTGGTAGGCGCACTATAGCTTGCTAGCTAGCAGACATAAGGGTCCCCTTAACCATCACTCCCCTTCCACCATCCACCACCCTCATCAAAATCCCCCCCTATTTTTTGCTCCTAAAAAGTAAAAACATTACAGTTTTTCTTCCCCTCTCCACTCTTTTATAATAGTTAATATTCCTTCACTCCTTTCTTTTGTTTCTCTCGTTTTCTAATCATGGACCAAACTCTAGGCTTACTTGGTAGTGGTGGTGGAGGTGGTGGTGGTCCTGGTGGTGGTGCTGTTGCTGGTGGTGGTGGTGGTGGTTTGTCTGATGAGAGTGTATCAACAAAACTGGAAAGGAACTATATGGGCATTTCTTCAGAGGGATCATCATCTTATGAGAATGAAGCTGAAATTGAGTTAGGTTTGGGATTGAGTCTTAATAGCAGTAAAAGGCATTGTTCTGATAATAATGTGAGGATATTGACAGCAAAAGATTTGCCTAATGGTCTTTTTGGCACCAAAAGAGCTGCTGCTGATTCTGTTAGTAGACCAGCTGAGAATGCCAATTCTTCTACAGGAATCAGGTTAGTTTTATAGCTAGTTAAAAATTGTTTTCGTCAATTTTTTTTTTTTTTTTGCATGCAAAATATTTATCTAAATCTCTTTGTTTCATTTAATTTGATGCTTTTGATGTTATTAGTTGTTACATATTTTGTTTCATGATCAATTCATGAAACAACCAAAAATTAATCGAATAAAATGTTCAGACCTTATCTAATTTGTTTATTGTCAATTAGTTTTGAATCAGACGATGTTCTGGTCTCATAATCAATCGTCACAATTCTGTATTGTTTTGTAATTTTTTTCCCAAGCAGCCAAGTAGTGGGATGGCCACCATTAAGAGCTTACAGGATCAACAGCTTGGTAAACCAATCAAAGATGAATAATAACGGCGGGAACGAAAAGAAGGAGAATTTGAAGAAAAAGACCAACTATGGCAACCAGAAGAAGAAGAATGATGAGGATGGTACAAAGGAGAAAGGTGGTTATTTGGGGTTCATAAAAGTGAATGTGGATGGAATCCCAATTGGAAGAAAAGTGGATCTGAGTGCTCATACTTGTTATGAGTCATTAGCTGAATCATTGGCTGACATGTTCTTCAATTCTATTCCAACAATTGGTAACATCTCTTTTTTCTTTTATTTTCTTTTGACTTATTCTTCTTACCAATTCCTTTTGATCATTATGGAATAGTAATTTTGAGAGTTCTTTTAATTTGGTCCTCAATTCTAATACTCCCTCCGGTTCTTGTGATAGGACTTAAATTTCATTTATTGTATTTTTTAAATTGAAAATAAAACAGTAAAAATATTTTAGAATAACTGAGAGAAAACAATAACTGTGAAAATATATTTTTAAAATATTATTTTCAAACGAACTTAAAGCTTATCTTTAGGTCTCTTATGTTATTACAACAAGAGATCTCTCTTGATATCTCCCCGAGCTTTTTTTACTATTAGGCTATGACCATTTTTTGCATCATTCAAAAACTTAAGTACAAAAGTTTTTAGTTGTAGTTTTCCTTTTTGTTAGTAATGGTTTATATTTTGTGGGACTGAATGAGTGCCTTTACAATTATATTTACCAGGTGGTGGAAAGGAACAATCTAGACAAACCCTGAATCTTTTGGATGAATCATCTGAGTTTGTACTCACATACGAGGATAAAGAAGGAGATTGGATGCTTGTTGGAGATGTTCCATGGAGGTACTTCACCATTTCCTTGAGTAATTTTTTTTTAATAAATTTTTTTTTTTTGCTTTTTCCTTTTTGTATTAGCTAGTTTTTTTTTTTTTTTGAGGAGTATTAGCTAGTATAATGTTGAATGTACTTACTACTTGGTAGAAATCAAAGTTATCTTTCTAATTAGATCCACATGTTATTTATTGACAATCAAACTTTTTGGCGAATTAGTTTAAACAATAGAAGTGTGAAGATAACTGTTTCATCAAGGTGACAATTGTTGAATTACAAATTACATGTGTCATGTAAATGAAAACATTAGACATCATTACAAACTCTTGTATAATCATTTTGTTTTTGAATTCCAATGTCCCTTTCTGTTTATGCAATTTCCTTTAAAGAAGATTTTTTTCAGTTTACAAAAAATACGTACTATTTTAGTTCAATAAACAGAACTCTAACGATGTACGTAATTTTATATTTTACTTAATGAAATACACTCCTTATAATGTATACAGGATGTTTCTTTGCACTGCCAAAAGGCTGAGGATTATGAGGAACTCAGAATCTAATGGAATTTGTAAGTGCAAATTTGTTCACTTTCTTTTTCGTCCATTTTCAACCATCAAGTAATAATGTATAATAACATTTATTTTCTTATACATTTACAGCTCCAAATATTCCAAAAAAGGCGTGATATCTAGAGATGAAGAAGAAACACAAGTCCCATACTACAGATAGGAGTAATGGAGATTAAACCTACAAAGCTCAAATATAAGAGTTCCCCTCTTTTTTTTTCTTGTTGGAACTTTTGGTTTCATTTTTGTTTTTTTTTTTATAAAAAAAAAAAGTGTAACGAGGTTTAAGTATTATGTCTTTGTTAAAATGAGTTTAATTTTGTCGCATCTTTTTTTTTTTTCCTTAACAGTCATATACACAATTATTATTCTTTCATTACTATTTAAGTTTGCTCAATTATAATGTAAATATGTGTTTCTCGCTAATCGTTATATTTTCCGTCAATTATTGGAGTAATTTTTTCTCGTCATTTTTGGTTTCGTAGTGCAAGAACTTTGTTTTCTCTCTTTAAGTTTAGTTTATTTTGTTTTTTTTTTTTTTTTTGATAAAATAAGTTTAGTTGGCTTTTGTTTTCTGGGTTTTCCTCTCTATACTACCGAGTCTACGGATCTACACCCATATAATGATTACCAAAGGTCTTCGACGACTTCAAATCCTTAATTTGTATTGCGATCTACTTTGTAAAATATAGATTAAAATTAAACTTTATAAAGATTTATGCCTTATAAATATATTGGAGTGGGTATATATATTGAATTATGAATGATGAATGAAATGAAATTGTGGGTCTATACATTTTGAAGTCTAACTTCTTCTTGTTAATTTTTTCTTATTTAATTAAATTGGTTTATAGAGGAAGAAACCTAGCAGTCTTTGGTAAATAAAACAATCCACTCTCCCTTTCCCTTTAAAAAAAAAAAAAAAAAAACCACTCTTACCATCCACCAACCCTATTCTCTCCCCCTTTAAATAAATTTGTTCTGCCTTCTCCTCTTATTATTCTCCTTCCACATTCAACTTGTATTCTTCACCACTTTTTTTTTTTTGGTTATCTTAAATATCACTTAGCCAATTATATATTATTAACATGAACAACACAGCTCATATTATAAGCGAGGTTTGATTCATTAAAACCCCCCTGTGGTATTCAAAAGTATATGATAAGCCCCTTATGGTATAATATTATCTAATGAACCTCATTGTGATTTTTCCGACATTTATAAATGGACGGAAAGGGTTAAAAACAGTCGTGATTACATCTCACACACGAAACTTGCAAGTTGGTTTTGTAAATATAATTTGACTTATAATTTTAATACTCAAAGAACCCTTCTTCCTTTAGGTATCTCCCTCTTTTTTCTCTTTTATCTCCATAACCGCCAGATTCTAACTACGCAACTTGTCAGAGACTCACTCTCGGGCTCCCCCATTTATCATTCTTCTTTTATTCCCTCTTTTTTCATCTCTCTTTCTTGCATCAATTTTAAGAAGAAAAAGAAACTTTCTTATTTCTCGTTTAATTGTAATTAGATTGTTGCTAAGTGATTTTATTGCAGCCATGAGTATTCATAGTTCTACGGATACATCTGGAGATCATCATCTTGAATTTGTGATTTTGATCATTGTAATTGTAGTGGAATTTGAAAATTTGGTTAAAGAGAATAAAAAATAATGAGTAAAAACTTAATATGGAAAAATTATCAAGTTTGAAAAAATGCAATATATGTTCTACGTATGAAGATAAAAAAGAAAATATGAAAAAAAAAAATTAATCATAAAAGGAAAAGGGAAAAAGAGGCCAAAAATAAAGGGGGTAAAACGGAAAACACAGTTAATAGTATTAACTTTAGCGAGTGACATCTATATTACAAATCTCAGATTATGCACAAGGGGGTTTATTAGATAAATTTATACTACAAGAAGGTTGTCTTGTAGTTTCAGATACCACAGGGGGTTTTTATGAATAAACCCTATAATCGAGCTGAGTACGTTAACATCAACCCATAGGCAAACTTTCAATAGTAAGTACCAACGAACTTCTGATTTAAAAGTAGAACCACTAGCTGCCATTATTGATATCTCAACTATGATAAGTATTTCCATGACTAATGAGGTCTAACTTCCTCCCATTTTAATATTCAATATTATTGAATTAAAAACGTACAATATACAAGTATATTAAAATAAGACAGAAAGAGTTTAAAATTTAAGGGAATTAACTGAATCATTAATTTGTTGAGGGGTTTTGAGGTTTTTTTTTTTCATTCAAACTTTTAATAAAAATCAGAAGTTAAATTAGATTATTATTTTGGGACGAAAAAATTATATATAAATCTTCACCATAAAAACACCCAGTGAGACCATAACCATACATTAAAACATCTCTCAAGTTTATGGCCTCAATAAATCAAACTCACTCGGTCCCAGAAAATCGTACTTCAATGAAGTGATCTATATTTTCTTGGGAATAGGGGAGAAATGATCTCCTTGTTAATTTAAAGTCTCTATACTCTGAACATACTCCATGAAAGGTAGATAATTATTCATGGTAAGAAAGCCATCAATTTCTGTTGGGGGGAACTTTATCATGAAAAATAAGATCCCAAAAAAAAAAAAAAACAAAAAACCAAAACACAGAAAAAGAAGCTCAAAGGAAGCACCATGATTTATGTTACCAAGGAAACTCCCGCAGACAGCCGCATTAATTTTAAGGCAAAGTCAACTTAACCTGAAATTTCCCAGGTTATAAGTAGTCGGTGATTATACAAGTTGATCAAGTACACAATTTAATCTATAATTTTTTTTTTTTTGTTTTAAAAAAATAAAATAAGAAGAAAACACTTAGAGATCAGTGCTATATATAGATGAAGCTAGCCCGGAAGTTAACTCACACACACACACACAAACAAAAGTTGATCTTTCACAAATCATCAGTGGAGTAGTCATGGCAATCGCCACCAAGTCCTTGCCCTCATCATCGTCATCATCAGCAAGTTCAACAATCTTTATGGTACTTCTTGTGATCGCCATATTTTGTAAGCGTTTTTATTTTATACTACCTCCGTCCAAAAAAAAAAAATAATTCACATTGAGTTTTCAAATTTGTACTAAAAACAGTACAAAACTTAAAACTCAAAGTGAACTATTCTTTTGGGACGGAGGTAATATTATTTTTAAAATTCCGCTATATCTCTTTCTCTTTTTTGTGTTCTTACTTCATCTGTCACGTATTAATTATTCATTTTGTTAATCTACAGTCGTATCAGATAGTAGATGTTGTTATGAAAACGATTTGATCACTATGGGATGTCAATCAGACGCAGATTGCTGCAACTACAAAAATGGATCAATTTGTAACGCACCGTATGGTTGTTGTGCACCAGTTGGAATGCCATGTACCTCCTCTCCTGGATCTATGGAGTGTTGTCCCTTTCAATATAATGGTGGTTTCACTCTTCCTATATGTTCTTCTGGAAAATGTTGTGTTCCAGTTGGTAGCCCTTGCAACCCTGCAGGCTCTGAATGCTGTCCTGTTGGAGGCAAGCCATCCAAATGTGACATAAATCCTGTCAATTGGAATTACGTTTGCGTGTCGACATGATCGATCTTGTGTTCGCTTAGTAATTAATTAGTTCGTGGTTATATATAAATTACTCTTCCGTCTCAGAAAAATAGTCTATATTGAGTTTAAAAACAGTACAAATTTAAAAACAAAATGCGGACTATTTTTTGGAAACAGATGGAGTATATTTGTATGTTGTAACCTATCTTGCTCGTATGGAAAGAGATCGAAAAGATGAGGTCTTCAAATTATGTGTCTTGAGATTGCAAGTTCTTGCCAGCGTATTGGGGTTGTTGTATGTCTCAATTTCCTTCCCTCACTCTATGAAGAAAATACTATTATTGATTATCATTTATGCAATTCTTTTATTAGCTTGATACACTCATTCATACTAATCTTAAATATCAAATCATTTTTTTCAATTAAAAAAAAAGAAAAAAAAAAGAAATATATAACTCACAGCCAAACTTTCAACAGCACTACCAACGAAATTCATTGATTAGTAGCATATTTCAAAATCCTTTCTCTTAAAAAAAAATTCAACCTTTAGTTAGTATTCTAGTAGTGTATACAATATTCCAAGTGGTATAAGCGATAACGCGTAAGAATCAGGGGGAAAAAAAAAGATTTGTAGCAGAATTATTAAATTGCTGTAATGAGGTGTGATGATTAATGTTAATTATTTTGATATGTGTTTTATACCAGAAAATCATAATATCAGCTTCGAAGGCACTACGGTAGTTAAATTACAAAAATTTTAAGATAAGAAATTCCTACATTATAATTTGATTAAATTTCTAACACCTTTAAACTCCTTACATTTATATAGGTTGATTTTGGACTAATTCCCAATCCCTAACAATAAATTTTCATACGCACTTGGCTTTCTTGACTATCTCTTTTGCACCATCTTAGTGACATTTGTTATCCAACTCAATTTGTACACTACCCCCCTCCCCTTCTCATGCCATCTTAAACCCCGAGGATAAACCCTAGTTCTCCTCCATTCTAGTTATAAATGTATGAGTTCACTCCAAATCTCTCAAACATAGTTTACATTTGGTTATGATCAATCTCATTATTAACTTTGTCATCCTAAAATATTTACTGATTCTGCAACACTAACTAAAGTTTAGCTGAATAAAATTATTAATATGATTAAATTCTTTTATAATTTCCCGTATTCTCTCCATCTTGTTGGGATTTCTTTTCCCTAAAGACATACCCATACTACCTCAAATTTTACGATTTCCACCTTAGCAGACAAAAAAATAATCCACTTTTCATTATGAGGAGATGAACACTTCCATTAGAGGATTCTTAAGATTTACTTCTTATTTGTAGATTTATATTATCGCATACAATTAATAACAATTTTTGTACTCTCTCCTGTCCTTATTATAAAACATTTTAATTTGTTCTTTCTTCTAATATATTTTTCCAATTTAGAAAAAAAATCTAAAAGTATTTCTTAATAATTATAAGGTCACACTGAATGTAAAAATCTATTTTAAGGTTTTTTTTTGTCAATAAAAAACTTATTAAATGAAACTCACAACAAATCAAAATACCTTATAATAAGGAATGGAGGGAGTAATATAGATATTCAAAACGTAATTTTACATTTCAGATTTCAAATATAAAACAATCAAATTTGTCAATAAAACACAAATTCATCCAAAGAGACCCACAATTTTTAGCTTTTAAGTTTTACTAGATGCTTGGCCCGGGTAGATGCCCGTGCGCTCCCTCTAAATTATTATTTTATTAAAATCTAATTGAATTACTATTTTTTGAGAAATTAATTTGACGTATATATCATTTATGTTATGGTTTGGGGCTTAAAAAAATATACCTATAAATCTGAGGTTATAAAGGAATAATAAATAATTTGTTTATAAGGCATTATTCTTAATTGCTGGATTTAGGTATTTTTATTTTTTATTTATATTAAGCCTGCAAAACTATACGATTGGACATTTGAATTTGAATTAATATATCTATTCGTTTGAAATGTAACTAATCCTTATTTGTAGATAAACATGTGTTTTATTTTTTTTAAAAAAGTTATATAGCTTCTAATTAAAAGAGACTTACACGTGGCAAAAAAATTTCTGAAATTTCTGAAATATGGTGCATTGGAGCCAAAATAGATACATACGTAATTGTCACATAAGTTTCATGTCTTCTGCTTTAATAGGGTAAAAGGGATTTGTTGCTCCCTTTCTGAAGTTCAACTTACATGATTTAGTACCATTCCTATAATAGTGTCTCCCTCGGACCAAAAGAGCACAAGTACTAGAACTGAACAGACATTCTCTCTGGCGGGAATAAGGAAAGTCCGCTGTACATAAAGCTCTTAAAATAATGCTCCCTTAAACTCAAAATCTTACGACAATGTTTTGCTGGATAATGACGAGGAGCATGCTCGCCGTCCCACGGTGGCGCTGTATTTCCGTCCGTTCCCCCGCCCTTAACAACAACCTTCACCACCGGAGCTTCTTCACTCGGCCCTCTCCCCAACTGTAAACCCTTTTCCCCTGCTCCCTCTGTTCGTGTATTTTCAATTCCAATCGAATATGTTTATAATGTTCTTCTTCTTTTGGTTTAAAGTTGAGAATTTTTTAGTGGGTTGGTTTGAAATGGACCAAAGTTTCAATTTTATGCCAATAATTCTAGTATTGGGTTGACTGTAAAATTTGGAATTATAGTATTGGTTTGTTCTAATCTTACCTTATTCTTATATGTGTTTGGTAATAAGTACCTAGTGAAGCCCGTTTTAGCATTGTCCTGTAACTGAGTCGTAGTTCAGAACTCCATTCTAATGTGCATTTTTATGCATTATCACGTGGTTTATGAATGTATGAAACTGAGGGGGAAAGAAAGAGTGATGGATTGAACAGGACAATTCTTAAGAAAATTTGTTTATGTAACTTTTAGGCGACTCATTGTCTGGAATTGAAATTGGTTGAATTAGAAAACCTTAATGTATTAGTACGTCAGTGGGAAAAAATTGGATGACCTACGCATCAACAATTGGTTAATGCGTACGACACTTTAAAGTTGAATTCACCTGGTTAATCTTTGGATGCCCAACATGAATTCTTCATTTAAAATCTGATACAAGGCCAGTATGATGACTGTTATGGCTTGGATGTTGTCTTAAACTCTACTAATAAGGTTCATGAATGTAAGGTGGAATATAATTTTCTGAGGAGAACTGCAAGTTCAACATTTCAAGGGCATCACAAAGGGATTGGTAACTAGAGAAGTTGGTAACTTGAATTCAAGAAGTTGGAAATCTTATAGGTCAACATAGAGCATTTTTGGACATCGAGTTTTATCAGAAAATGTAATGGATTACATGTAGACACACATATCTTACTCCAACTACAATTAGTTGGATGTAGTAGTAGAAGCCAACCAGCATCATCATGTCAGGAATACTCTTTTCACTTTCAACAGGAATTTGCTTTCTCCAAACAGATATAGAAGTAAGACTCCATATAGTTACTCTGTGATGATTTTGGATCATTGTACCTTCAAATTAACATTCATTATTAACTGTGCTCAGGCTTTCTCAACCCCTTTTCAAGTTAATTCGGAAAGTGTGGTACTAATGTCTGGTCACTGGGATCTGCAAATGATTCTAGAAAATGTGAAGGCAAAATACGTTAGCTGGAATTTTCACTGTAGTATCTTACTTTTGCTCAACAAATTAAATGTGCATATTGCAACCTCCCTTGTGAGAGCCTGTGGCAATTGATTCCATTTGAGCATCTCCCTCTTTTCTGTTTTTACTTTCTTTTAGGATTCAAACTCTTTGAGAAGGCTTGAGTTTCATTTCTGGCTATTCACATTAGTTGAAAACGTACCACCATGTGTACTATAGTCCAATTATTATTTCATTGTTGAAATGTGTTAACTTTTTACAAATTTTTTCTGCTTCAATTTTTTGAATAACGACTTCTGTATAATTTGAACTATTACGTTCTAAACAGTATCAGCGAGTCCCATCCAATATTTTGTGTCAAAGACCAGAAGCTTTCCACAAAAGCATCTGAGAAAGTCAAGCTTTCAAGTAATGATCGCGAGGAGAAAGATTTGAGTCACATATTGTGGTGGAAAGAGGTAAGCTAGAGAAGTTGATTTTAATGTTTTGTTAATGATAAGTTGAGGTTTGCAGAAAAGAAATTCTGAGGTGCTGTCTGTTGTATTGATTTATTTAGCTGTGTCGTGGTCTTCTTTCAGAAAATGCAACTCTGCAGGAAGCCTTCTTCAGTTTCACTTGTGAAGAGGCTTATGTATAATAACTTGCTTGGTGTGGATAGTAACTTGAAGAATGGAAGGTGAGTCCTTCGATTCCTTGAGGTCACTGGTGGATCTTATTTTTGGCTCTTTGAAACTAACTATTATTGAATTTAATTTTCTCATGTAAGAGATTCTTGTGCTCTTGTGCATTTGTGTTTATCAACCTCCCTTGTGCTTTTGCCTTTAACTGTTTGGTTTGGCTTCATTTTATCTAATTGATAAAAAGTGATTGATTGCTTTGCGTATTGTTATCCACTACCTTTGATAGAAAGTTTGATGAATAAGCAAATCCATCGGTTATGTTTTGGGGTTTTCTATTACATTTCCACAACACTTTCTCATGAAATTTCTACAATATAGGTTTCTATCGTATGTTAGGTTGTTTGGTCTCATTTAGATTTCCATTTATGCTTTAAAGAGAGTAGCTATACCCACATAAATATTACATTCTTCTGTGGGTGAATCGGATCATTGGAAAGTTCTGATAACCAAAAGGGCCTTATTTTGGATGGAGTCTTGTTCTTGTTGAGTTTCGAGGGCATAAAGAATTTGACTTCGTGCCATCCAGATTTTAAATTATTACGTACTAGATTTAGTAAAATGTGGAAATCCAGTCCTCAAAGGTTATGTTTCTCACTAAACTCCGCCTTTCTTTCCCGAAGTTACGAGTGATAGGGAATACCGAACATGTATTAGCTCATTTTATGCATGTTTGACTTCATGAATGAGATGGTTTTCCTATCATAATTTTGCAGTCTGAAGGAAGGCAACCTTAACTGGGAAATGATGCAGTTCAAGTCAAAGTTTCCACGTGAAGTTTTGCTCTGTAGAGTATGCCCTTCAACTAATTCTTCCGTTTAATATCTTCATTTTGCTTTAACCGTGTTTAAGTTCTCGTCATTTTCTACGACGAATTTTTGTACCTGATGATTGAGCAAAGTTTCCACTGTTTTGCAGGTTGGGGATTTTTACGAAGCAATCGGCATTGATGCCTGTATTCTTGTGGAATATGCTGGCCTGAATCCTTTTGGTGGTCTGCGTTCGGACAGTATTCCAAGAGCTGGGTGTCCTGTCATGGTGAGATTTGTTTCTGTTGTTTTGTTCAATTTCTCTCGAGACAATGAATTTTACGGCTGAAGAAACTTTGTTCTTTTTCTTTTTTTTTTTTCTTTTTTTTTTGTCCGGAACGAGTTTGTTTCTGCCTCTTGTGATGCTTTAATCAATAAGACGTTCATCCATTCTTTAACTTAAGGCTTCTTGTATACTAGAAATGAGTGAGAATGTGGATATTTTGTCTCTAGAATGTTGTGAATCGAAGAGTTATCCTCTTGATTGTTGAGATGAGTGAGAATGTGGATACTTTGTTATCCTTAGCATGTACGTTTATTATATTTCTGAGAAGATTTGCAAATGACATGATTCTTTAAATATCTCAACATTATATTTTTGTATACCAGTCTTGAGTTGGACGGATGCTCAGCATTCACTAGCCTGACCTTTTTTTATCAGTGAATTTCTGAGTGTAGTTCAACTTCAAGAAAGTTGTTACTTGTCTCATGAAGAAAACAATTTTTTCCTTGATGTTTAAGTCTCCAACGAGCAGTGCAGAACAATGCTGTATCTTGTTTACAGTTTTACCATTGTGGATACTTTGAGCCTAACTTTTTTCCTTGCTGATAGTTTGGTATGGTATTGCTCCCTGAGAAGTTGCCCTTCAGTTTTATGGTGCTTATATGTTTTGCTTTTACATTGGCAGAATTTAAGACAGACACTGGATGACCTGACACGCCATGGCTTCTCTGTTGTAAGTTTCCCGTTTTACTACGTGATAGTTTACCCTCTCTTCATTATTACTATTAAAATATTTAGTAAAAGAGAAATGAATGTTTTCTGCTGAAACCTACGTGACATATGCAAGGTAAGTAGAAGGAGAGTGGACCTCACTGCTGTAGATGTTAGTTATGAATTGTAGGATCCTTTGAATTTGCAATTTTGCAATCTTAAAACTTTCTTTGCTAAAACTTAAGACTTCTAGGGTACTTGTTTAGGCTTGAACTGTTTAGAGTATTCAAATCATTCTGTGTTTTTGCAGTGCATAGTGGAGGAAGTTCAGGGTCCCACTCAAGCTCGTGGACGCAAAAGCCGTTTTATTGCTGGGTAAATATGTGCTACTCTGAATTTGAATTTGTTTCTCAACTGGTTACATTAGAAGCTATCATTTTGCTCAAAATTTTATAGCTGGTGTGGGGATTCCATTTAGGATTCCCTGGTTTTATGGTTGACTGAAGCTTTTAATTGTTGTCCTACTTACTTTGGTGAACACCATTTGTATCCACTTATTGCAGTTATTGTTGCAATTATTGCAACTGATGATTGTTTCATGTATCCAGGCATGCACATCCCGGCAGTCCTTATGTTTTTGGACTCGTTGAAGATGATCGCGATCTTGATTTCCCCGAGCCCATGCCTGTAGTTGGTACATGCATATCTAGTTTTCGTACCATTTTAGTTTGTTTGCATCCATCGGGATTCACTGAAAGTTTCCCTTTTGGCATTGGGTCCTTTTCAGGTATTTCACGTTCAGCAAAGGGCTATTGCTTAATTTTGGTGCTCGAAACTATGAAGACCTATTCTGTCGAGGATGGTCTGACGGAAGAAGCCCTAGTTGCGAAGCTGCGCACTTGCCAATGCCATCATTTGTTTCTGCATTCTTCGTTGAAAAGCAATTCTTCAGGTCAGCGGGACCATCTTCTCATCTTTTTTGTAGCTTGTGATCTATGAACTTCAAGATGCTAATCATGCTATGTCTGTTAAACACACATCATTGTTCAATGAAAGTGTAGTTACTCCTTACACATAAAATGAGAAAAGTTGGGGAAGTGGAAAAAAACTCATCATGCTAATTTTGTTGCGTTTTCTTCATTTCAACCTTCCTTATTTCTATTGCTTTTGGATAGTATGCAAATGCTGCTTGTTTTAGCTTGCCTCGCTACCGCTAGCCACCAGGGGGTATTTACGCCCTTCGTCTATACAGTTATACAGAATAGGTTGAAGTTGAAAATTGTTTGCACTTTTTAGGCCTGATGATGCTATGCTGTCATGACCAGTGAGTTGCTAGATTTAGGATGTCTTTAGCACGGAAAACTTCATAATTGTTCTTCTTGATATTATGTTGTCTCCAGAAGCTCACTAAAATTTGATGAGCATTTCATCTGTTTATTTTATTCTCTCTGTTACATTATGTTCATATTTATCTGACTGGCTATTATCTTCCATTACTTTCTCTTACTTATTGATTAATACATTATTTTTCCTATGTATGAGGTAATATCTAAGGTTTCCTAGTAGCCTCCCATTCCACTTCAGAAGCTTACAAATTACCTGTATAATAGCATTTAGGCTTGTAAGCTGTTAATTACTTGGTTTTAAGCACTCTAAAGTGAGTGTGGATGGAAACCCTAAAGTTATGCCCGACATATGACCACGGTGTCACTTCTACTGTTAGACATGATCTGCTATTGGTTCAATATCAATGACAGAGATGACTCTTTAAATTTACTTTACTCTTGAATTGAAATATTCCTCTGTAACATACTTATTATGTTTCAGTCTAGTTTTGTCAAATAAGTTATCAATTGTAAATTTATCATATGGCTAGGGAAATTTGAGATTTTCTTCTCATTTTGTTCAGATGTGCGTTTCCTGCATATTGATGTTTTTGGTTTCAGCTGGAGAAACCATAGGACAATTCAATTGATCAGTTTTAGGTTCTTTTAGTGCCTAGGAATATATTTTAGGACATAAATTTTATTTATTTCTCAAGTTAGGTGTTGGAAAAGAGTTTCGAATGTTTCATATTTCAAGAGGGATTTTGCAGTCGTCTCCAAGTAATTTTTGGGTTTTCACGTTAATTATCTTTCTTCTCTTCTTTTATGAAGTTAGACAATTTATTAGATGTTGAGCTCAGGCGTGGCTTCTATGTTTCCATCGTTTCATGTTCAATGTCAATCTGTAGCATTGCCAATTTTCTGATACTTATTCACTTTAGAATAAACAACAATAGATGCCTGTCTGCAGGTACTTGTCGCTGGGGAGAGTTCGGTGAAGGTGGCCTTTTGTGGGGAGAATGTGCTGGTAGACATTTTGAATGGTTTGATGGCAGTCCAGTCAATGCACTTTTATGCAAGGTTTGTGGCTGAAATCATTTTCTAATACAGCAATGCTTACTTTTGCATATTCAGTTACAATGTTTCATGCTGCTTGATTTAGGTGATGGAACTGTATGGTATGGATGAAGTTGTTGAGTTTCGAAATGTGACAGTTGCTTCTGATAACAGACCCCGGCCTTTGTATCTCGGAACAGCCACACAGATAGGTAATTCACTGTTACATGTTAAATTATGTTTGCAACAGAAACCCTTTCGAAAAAAAAAAAGGGTTGCAACAAAAGAATTATGACTCACTTTACTTTTCATCTCTGTCACTTTAGGTGCCATACAGACTGAAGGAATTCCTTCTTTGCTGAAAGTGTTGGTTCCACCTACTTGTGTGGGACTCCCTGTCCAGTAAGTGGATAATTTTGTCCGTCATTTACTCTGTTTTGTTCTTTTTCCTTTTTCTGCTACTGAGTGATAGAGAATAGAAATCTGTTTTGAAAACTTGGCGAATGCAATACATTCATTGTCTTTGGTTGGCGACTTTTATGCATTTATTCACTTTATCAACATGTGATCCTAAAAATCTCTGATTATTCCACCAAACTCTTATCATATTCCCCACCTCATTGTATCATTCCAGTAATCGTAGTCCTTATCAGGAAGTGTTTCTGAATCCATCCTTTTGACCTCTTGGAATTTTTTTCTTCGTACAAGCTTGATCTTTTCCTTTTCCATTTAAAAAGCCCTTTGTTATGCATGAATTGAGTTTCCATGGCCCAAGGAATAATTGCACGAGTCTGGGAAGGTACAGGAAAAAATTGGTTAAGCCTCTCTTGAAAGTTGTACCTTGGCATGGAAGCAAATTTGCAGGTGGGAACAAAGATATAAACTTATTTGGTAGACATAATAAGATTGATAAAGCTAGATAAGATCATGCTTTGGGCATTTATATCTCCTTTTCTTGGTTTGGGGAATAGAAGTGTGGATGAAGGATCTTCAAAATTTGTTTAAAGAAATAACGAGAATTTAAAATTTATGGGGATATTTCTATGCAAACAATTATCAAACCTTGTTTAATTTCGACTAAATCTTTTTTTTTCTCCTCGATATTCCATCTGTACGATTTTTATCAATTTTATTATTTTTTAATGATTTTCTGTTGATATACACAAATATTCGTGAAGTTTCCAGAATTTTTTTCCCTCATGATTTCATTTAATCCGTTATTTTGTACTCAATTGCAACTGCCTGAGTGCCATTTTGCTCTGATTCTTGCAGTTCATTAGCTGCTTCTTTTCATGTTAATGGTATTGAAGTTTTTCTTGTGTACTTTATGTTCGCTGCACGCTTGATTGTTTTCTTGGTTTCTGTAAATCCTTTATTGTACTTATTGCAACTTCGTTGGCGTCTTTTGCTCTGGTCTTTGCAGTTCATTAGTTGCTTCTTCTTTATACTAGTAGTAAAGCTGTCAAAGTTTCTCTTAAGCACTTTACTTTGTCTTGATGAATAGCCATTATATATTTCTTATATTTCTTTTGAATGTTTATCAACATTCAATGCTTGTAGCTTTCTTAGTTTCAATTCTTGTTTTCTCTCAGGTATATAAGAGGACTTCTCCTAAACCCTCCTGCTTATGAGACTGCAGTTACAATTCAGGGTGGGTGTTGCTCTTAATTTTATGATATTTTTAAGATGAGTGGACTAGATACTCTAAGCACGCATGATTTTTCTGTGCTCGATTCATCTTGACATCTCACAAAGCAGCCACGTCTCTCCTGCAATAAAGGAAATAAAAAAAGGTGGTCAACTTGGATTTGCTTCTTCTGGTTGCAACCTTATTTGAAAATTTTATTTTCCCATATAAAATTCTGAGTCCACCCTTTCAACTTTGCGTATCCATAATGAGCTACTTGAAAGGCATGCAAAAGATAGCTAATGTACTTGATTGTTGCTTCGTAAGAAATCTACTAATCCCAGGAGAGGTTGTATAACTTCCCCTGTAGGACTTTGTCATTAATGATCAAACGCTCGTATGATTGCTCTATAATTTCCCCCCAGTAACTGCAGAGCATATCTACTTCCCTTCCCAATGATTTAATGCTGATATAATTGCTCTACGGTTTCCCTCGCAATGACTGTGGAGTGTATGCCACTTTCCCCAGATGCTGGTTTAAGGCACCATCCTGCTTATTGTTACCTTTCACTGGATTTAGAAAGTTAAAAGGAGTCTTAGTCAGTCGTTGATGAATATGAAGTTGGCTTTCTCTGCCGGTAGACAATACTTTTTTTTTTTTTTTTCTCGTGACTATCAGATGATGTGTATTTCTTTGCTTGGAATTCTTGGGGTACAAAAGTGGTGTTGGTGTTAAGATTTTAAGGTTTTCATGCTTGGTAAAATTTTTGTGCCATGTCTTTTATGGGAATATATGGGTCTTGATTCCTTTAATTCTATCTTTTTTTTTCAGCTCATGGTTCTTGTGTATGTATGCTTTGTATGTGCATTTATTGTTCTTGATGGGAAATTTTCTTCTTTTGCAGAAATCTGCAGGCTGATGAACAACGTGACTTGCTCAATTCCGGAGTTTACTTGTTTTCCTCCTGCTAAGGTTATCTTGCTAGTTATCTGTGTATTCAACTAAAGCAAGTTCACTTTTCAAAGTTGATGTTCTTTAATTGCTTGAAGCAGTGTCTTCTATTACAGTGGGGTTAACCTAAGCTTATAGATATTCTTAGCAGATAATTGAAATTCCATGCTTTACAGACTTTTTTATTCTTGTAATCAAGAGGATTTTTTTTCCCCTCCTTTTTTCTGAGGTCCTTCCAGGTGTATTTAGAAATGATACTAGTAAACATTAACTTTTCTTTTCTTTTTGTTTTTCCCCTTTTTATGTACTGTTCTTTTTAATTTTGCTCTTTATTTGGTGTACATGTAATAATCATGCTTAGTCTTCGTGCATCCTATATTTTCTATTTTCACCTCCAATATGCGTTGTTTCCATTATTCATTTTTCTAATTAGTGTCTGTTTTAATTTTCCTGATTCTGCAGCTTGTAAAATTACTTGAACTGCGGGAAGCTAATCATGTTGAGTTTTGCAAAATTAAAAGTGTGGTTGATCAAATACTTCAAATGAGTACAAATTTAGAGCTCAACAAAATTCTGAAGTTATTGATGGATCCTACTTGGGTAGCGACTGGATTAAAGATTGAATTTGAGACACTAGTAAGTATCCCCTGTTCATTTCTGTATGTAAGTCACAAGGCTGTTGCTTTTCACGCTCAGAATTCTCCAGGGATGCCTTATGACTTTTTCTGTGCTTTTCTTGAGCTAGAATTCTGTTATGGCATCTTTGTGTTGTAGAGCTTATGTGTTTTAGGTTCAGCATTAGTTACTTATTAACTTTTAGCAGAAATGGATACTGTAGAACTAATTGCTTTTCTCAAGTTTTGTCTACTGTTGTTTTTTTGGGTAAAAAGGTATATATATATATATATATGTATGTGTATATATATATAGCTCACCAACCAAATCGATATATACACAGCGACTGTTCACACTTTTCTGTATGTACCTAATTTATTACATTAGCTAGGGAAAAATTAATTGGAAATCAGCAGTTTAGTTTGTATTATGGTCATGTCCTGTTCGTTATCGATGTAAAGTTTCTCCATTTTCTAAGTTCCGCATTCCAGCAATGGTTCTAATCTAAGTCTTCTTTACCTAAGGTAAATGAATGTGAGTTGGTGTCAAGAAGAATTGGTGAAATTGTCTCTTTAGATGGTGAGACTGATCAAAAGATCAGTTCTTTTCAAAACATTCCAAATGAATTTTTCGAAGACATGGAGGCTTCATGGAAAGGACGTGTGAAGAGAATCCATCTGGAGGAAGAATTTCTTGAAGTTGAAAATGCATCTAGAGCTTTATCATTGGCAGTAAGTATTTTCTTTTTTCCTTCTGGTCACTCTTATGATCATGAAGTTATGTGTGGTCAATTTTCTGAATAATATTACCATACTATTCTCTCAGAACTTCTGTTGTTGCTTGTGTTTATGTATGTCATTTCTTTTTGGGTCTTCCTTGCCATTTCATTTACGTCATGTATTTTCTAGGCAACGGACTGAGGTATCTAGCCAATTTTGGTTTTGTTTTGTCAAGTTCAATTATTCTATTTCTATTCCTGACTGTGAGTAGTCCGTTAATTTGTTTTGAAATATTGGCTATTTTGTTTATGGTAACGTCCTCATAAATGACAGTTTTACTGATCCAAACTGTGTCCTGTAGTTCTTCCTCCCCAATTGCATCCTTATCAACTCTTCTTATGCCTTTTCTCAGTCATAATGCTTTACCAAGCTCTAACATGATTTACCTATTACACATAAGATTTTCATTTTCCTATCATGAAATTGTTAGCGCTGTATCATCCCTTTCCTACTACAGTGTTAAGAGCTCTTAGTCTATCCCCTTTTCAAAGTTATCTTACCTCCTGCTCTATGAATAATGATCCTGTAATAACACTCACCTGGGCTACCCCATTCGTCAGTGAGGTGCCTTGTTGCTAAGACGGATGGAAGGCTTTCAGATACTGACAGCTTCATAGAAGAGTCCGCTTGCCAATTGCTTATCTTAGCTGGATTAGTGTATGTAGTTTGCATGTGTTTAAAGAGCCAAATTGTTGCTGATTTTAGAGCATTCTCTTTAAGAAAGAACAAAGAAATAGAGATGATGATCAAGGTTGAGTAAAGGTGAAATTGTGTGTTATTAAATTAAAGGATGAAGTAAAGAAAAAAAGAGAAGAAATTTGATTCTTTGTTTGATATATGATTAAACATGATGTAGATGTGAGGAGGAAAATTGTTTGGATTCTTCAGGCACTTTATTTGTTTATACTTTTTGTTTTCCCCTTCTGCACCCACCTATGCTTGGGTCACTTATTAGGTGAGTGGCTGGTTGAGATACACTCCAAACTGTAAATTTCTTGATAAATTCACGGAAATTAGAACGTCAAATGACTCACTGCATGTGTTACAATTGAAAGATTTGTCTCACCTGCTTCCTGAAGCCAAACATTATTCAATTCTTTTCATGTTGAACGCTGGCAACTGTGGGTGTGATGGTCCTCCTCACGAACTGAGCAGTCTGAATTTTATTCCATGCTTATTAGGTTTCTGAAGATTTTGATCCGATTATTACAAGAATAAAAGCATCATCAGATTTAAGTAGAGCAAAAGGAGAGGTGTTATATGCTCGTGAGCATGGATCTGTATGGTTCAAAGGAAGACGCTTTGAAGTGCGAATTCCAGCTGGAACTCCTGGGGAAGAACAGATCAATAAACTCAAATCTGCTCTCGATTCGAAAGGTAAAAAGGTTGGAGAAGAGTGGTATACAACTATGAAGGTGGAGGAAGCATTGTCAAGGTGATCTTTTTAACATCATTGTTTTTTAATTTGAGCTTTCTCATGATTAATGTTTTGATTCTCAGCTGAGACTTTTCTGCTTTGCAGATACCATGATGCAGGAGCAAAGGCAAAGTTGAAGGTTATGGATTTATTACGAGAACTTTCCTCTGAGCTACAAACGAAGATCAATATCCTAGTCTTCGCATCAATGTTGCTTGTCATTTCAAAGGCATTATTTTCTCACGTGAGGTTGGTAGATAACCTGTGCAAGCTGTGAAAGTAATCATTTTTAAATTTCCATTTGTCAACAAAATGATGTGGCTATTTAGCCACAGCTAGATTTTTCCTTTTCTTCTTCTCTCTAGTTTAGAATGTTTAGCGACTTTGCTTTTGATCATTGATTTTGTATGTTGATTTCCTTTTTTCACATATCTGTTGAATAGTTTATGTTATGTCCGTGTTTGAAATCTCTGGAGCTTTAGGTTCTTTAAATTTTTGCCCTCTTTTAAGTTGGTATACGCTGCAATTTAGTTTTAAACCCCATCTTTTTCTTGATTTTCCAGTGAAGGGCGAAGAAGGAAATGGGTGTTTCCCTCTCTCACCAAAATTTCCGAGCCAGAGGTATTTTCCTTTTTTCTTACATATATCTCTAAAGTTTCTTTCCGGTCATTTAATATTTCTGATTTGGTATATGGATCCTTAGCTTGTAATCTTCTTTCGAGAGAATGCCGTCATGGAAGGTGCCCTCAGTAGCCTTTTTCAGAGGATTAGTTGTCTCAAGGCCTAGCTTGATTTGATTCTGAATCATCTGTGGTTTGGTGTTTCAATTTGTGATATAAGACTGTACACGCTGCATGGCTCCCCCTTTCCGTAATTTGCAAAGGATGACAGCACATCTGTTCCCTTCGTGAAAGAATTTTCAAAGAGATTTTTTCTAGCCAAATCCCTAATTAATGACAAGTGCAGTCATTTGAATCTTTTTCTCTTTGGAGGAATTCCTCGATAGTATGTCTGGATGCTCTTATAATCCACTTCAATGCAGGATGCAGATTCTTGGAAGACAGATAGTCGTATGAAGATAACTGGCCTATCTCCATATTGGTTTGATGTATCACAAGGGCGGTCTGTAGATAACACTGTTGATATGCAATCGTTGTTCCTTTTGACGGGGCCAAATGGAGGTGGTAAATCGAGCTTGTTGCGCTCAATTTGTGCTGCTGCCTTACTGGGAATCTGTGGTTTTATGATACCAGCACAATCAGCTATAATTCCGCATTTTGATTCCATTACCCTTCACATGAAATCTTATGATAGCCCTGCTGATGGAAAGAGTTCTTTTCAGGTGCATAGCTGCTTTGTTTTTATGTGAACCTGTTAATTTTTACTTGTTATTTCTTTGTTCTCTTTCCATGATAATGTGATTTTAAATGATTGAGCAAAATATAGTGGAGGTACGTTTTCATTGGTTTGTACCTTACAAAATATTTTTGTGTCTACAATTTAGTTAATGCCATACAAGTAAATGAAATGAGCGAGAAAATTAACATCAAGATTTCATTTTGTTGGTTTAATTCACTTGTACTGTTGATATTAGCTTCAGATTCCATGTTTTGGTTGTGTATAGTTTTCGAATAAATAATTCAGATAAGCACATCAAGCAAGTTTTTTGTTATATTTCCATGATTTCTGCTATTTCCTGTACTTGGCATGTTTATCCCAAACTTGGAAAATTGCACATACGGGATCTGCATACTCATATTACTATTGTATAGTGGTAATCAATACTCACACCTTTGGTTGAATTCAGTTTAAAATGTTTTTAATATGCTTATAGCATATGTATTAAGTGAGATCGTAAGCCTGACAGTTGTCTTGTTTTTCTTTTTTACTTGTATATAGGAAACGATGGTTCTAATACTAGAGTAGCTTTACAGTTACTTAATATTTGCCTAGCTTCACCGCATGAGTCGGGTTAGTGTTTATTATGATTTTGCTCCTCTCAAGTGGGAGCTCATGTACAAATTTGTGTTTTTCTTTTCTCTGTACTTCATTTTATTTCAATTGAGTGCTTTGTAATTGGTGGACCATGTGTCTTCAAAGCAGGGGGAACAAATCAATGGAAACCTCCAGGCTTGATTGTTTTGAACTTTTCTTTGGAGTAAGAATTGGTTAGAATTTAATATCCACTGTAGTAACCCAAAGATGATGCTTCTCGTAGACATTGATAACGTAATAGAAGTGCAAAATCTTTTTATGTTCAGAGTGGTGAATGTAATTGGTTGGCTGGGAGCCTCAGTCAGAGCAATCAACCAAGTCGATATGTTACCAGAACCCTAATCTGAATGTTTTGTGAAATTTGTTTTCCAGATGTTGTGTAATTATAATCCTCCGAGTATTTGAGTTGAAGTTTTGGGAGCACTTTGACCAATAATAGGCTTTCTTTTTTGCTAGTCACTTCAGCTAAAAGAAATGCCATCAGTTTGTATATTTATCATTGTTGACAACTAATTGGCAAAACAGTTTCTTTGTTAGTTATGTTTCGGCTAGCATGCAAGTAATGATTCAAAGAGTATTTAATAATGCTTTTGAAACATCATCGAGTTTTAGAACCTTGGCAGATTTTGTGAACTTGGTTTACTTCTCGTATCTAGATTAGTCTCATCTTGTTGTGTTCTTGGTTTACTTCTTGTCTCACCACTCTTTTATAATTGGATCAGATTGAAATGTCTGAACTTCGTTCTATAGTTGCTGGAGCCACTTCAAAGAGCCTTGTGCTCATCGATGAGATATGTCGAGGAACTGAAACTGCAAAAGGAACGTGTATTGCTGGAAGCATTGTCGAGACACTTGATGCCATTGGTTGTCTGGGCATTGTATCTACCCACTTGCATGGAATTTTTGACTTACCATTGAAAACAAAGAATGTTGTGTACAAAGCTATGGGATCTGAGTCTGTTGATGGTCAAACTATACCAACATGGAAATTGATTGATGGAATTTGCAAAGAAAGTCTTGCTTTTGAAACAGCTCGAAGAGAAGGAATCCCGGAAAATTTAATTCAAAGAGCCGAGGAGTTGTATCTTTCTGTTTATGCCAACAGGCCGATTTTAGAAAAGGGTATAAATGGAGTTACTTCTAAGGACGACGTCTCTATCTCTGATAAAGATACTCATCTACAAAGCAATATCAAGAAAGCCACTCCTTCAAAAATTCAATCAGCAAACCGCATTGAGACCCTTAGGAAAAAAGTGGAAAGTGCAGTCTCATCTATCTGCAAGAAAACTCTTAGCGAGCTCTATGAGAAGGAATATTCACAGGAACATCCGTGCTTGACCTGTGTTTTGATTGGTGCGAGGGAGCAACCACCCCCATCTACTATTGGTGTTTCAAGTGTCTATGTGATGCTTTGTCCCGACAGCAAAATATATATTGGACAGGTAATGGTCTTTCTTCCCTGTTGCAACTATGAAACCTCATTTCTAATAATGCTTGGTCTAAGTCGTCGTCATTAATTTTAATGCTTGCATTGCATATATATGTTGCACCCTGATTCTTGGTTTTTGCTGGTACATCTTACCATGCAGTGAACTTGCTTATTTGAATTTCAATAGCCAATCATTTTGGGCACATGTAGTAGGAACATCACTATGTCTAGATAAGTTTTTTAGAGCATTATATGAAGAGATCTCACATGAACAGAGTTCATTCTTATTGAATTCCAGAATACAAAACAGTCGCTATCCTACTAAAATCTTTTGTGATGTCTAATTCCATATTAATTATTGTTTCTTTTTCTTTTTGAAATAATGCACGACAGACTGATGATCTCGAGGGCCGGATCCGTGCTCATCGGTCTAAGGATGGATTGCAGAACGCCTCATTTTTGTATTTTCTAGTCCCCGGAAAGAGCATTGCTTGCCAACTGGAAACTCTCCTCATTAATCAGCTCCCAGAAAGAGGTTTCCGACTCAGTAATGTAGCTGATGGCAAGCATCGAAATTTTGGCACCTCTACTCATTCCGCGGAGAGCATAATGATGCTGAGATGAAATTCGTCTACTAACATGGTGCTCAACTTGTGTACAGTGTAGGAATTTGATGTATGCAATTCGAATCTGCACGGGAACCTTTTGTTAGCAAGATGACCATTGTCAGTCACTGATAACTGCAGTGGCTGCAACAATTTTGTATAGTAGAAGTTGCTCCATTGCAGTTCAATAGGCAAAGATGGATTTGTTGTAGCTTTTGGTTCAAACACCAATTTCCGTTCTTAATGAAATCATGATATTTCATATTATATCTTTCTAACATGTTAATCGAACAGGAGGCAGACATACGATCAAGATAGACGGGTCACATAATAAGTTAAATATTTTTTCTTGGCAATTATCGGTGTATAATCATATAACAAGATAACTATTTTTTGTTAGGGCCGGTAATAATAATGAGAATATGTTACAAGTTTTATAAATCAAAAGGATGCCAGAGGAGCATATATGAGTATGTGCAGAATTGTTTTAATACGGTATAATTTACATTACAAAGAAAGCAGAAAGTCTTTAAAAAACAGTAAAAGAAAAATAAAAAATGAAAAATAAAAAATAAAAAATAAAAATTGAAGTCCAAAAACGTGGTCGGCAGGATTCGAACCTGCGCGGGCAGAGCCCACATGATTTCTAGTCATGCCCGATAACCACTCCGGCACGACCACCTTGCTGAGATGATAGCTTAAAAGGTTTTAATAAAACATTCTGAAACAGCAAGATAAATAAACCGTGACTTCACAAAAATATGAACTTTGTTTCCCTCTTTTATCTACTTGCTTTACCGAACGCTGCAAATCCTGAGAATTCGCAGTGTTTTCATCCATGGCCCTTGTCTTGAATTCAAAACCTACATATCGGAACGGTAATTCTTCCTAAACGGGTTCTTTGTTCTTCTCATCCATACTTCCTTCCTCCTAATCCACTGTGGCGTGTGAGGGCAGTAACCATTTTTTGCTTCTAAGTTGAGGTGAGTAATTGATAATTGCTTTTATGTTTTCGCATTTGTACTATACTTCTTAGCTCTTCTTTTTCCTTTTTTGGGTGGTTTATTTTGTGGGTTTCCATTTTTTTTGGTGATCAAGAGGTAAATTTTGAAGTATATAAGTAGTACTACGCTTACTGTTTGATTCTTGGTCTCAAACAAAATTCTTTGTCTTTGTTACTGCCAACAGAAAAAGGCCAATGCAAAATTGGAGTGATTGAGAGCTAAACGTGTTTTTTTTTTTTTTTTTGCTTCAGTTTCTTTTCGTTTGGCTGCACATTAGTAAATTAACTGAATTTGAGTGATGAAGAAAAACATGGTCACATCAAAACTTACATTGTTGAGATTCGGATGATGATATGTGTGATTCTCAGGCATGAATTAGTTCACCTTTTTCGGTGGTTAAGTGTGATTCCTACAGCATGAATAATGACTTCAGCTGAGTTAGTTAAGTCAATCACTGTAATTGTGTATATATCTTTCCGTTGGGATGGGGGCTATTTTTGAGCATGCTCCAATCTTTTATGCATTGCAGGTTTGACTTTGGGCATTTTTGAATCTCGGGCTGATTTAGTATTCGTGCTATGGCTCTAACATTATTCAGAGGGATAAAAACCTGTCCTTTAGTGCTTTATCCATCTGCATATTTTACAAGAAGACATGGCAATTTCTACTGTTCTATGGGAAGCGCACAAACGCAAACGGCAACTCAAGAAAAGCAACAATCTGCTCAACTGAAAGCCTCTCCACAAACCCAGTTGAAAAAAGTCGATGAATTGTTGAAAGATTATGAGGCCGTCATTGGAATAGAGACCCATGTGCAGCTTAACACTTTAACTAAGGCCTTTTGTAGTTGTCCTTACAATTATGGTGCTCAACCTAATACCAGTATCTGCCCTGTTTGTATGGGATTGCCAGGGGCATTGCCAGTCTTGAACTCCAAGGTCATTGAATGTGCTGTTAAAGTTGGCCTTGCCCTCAATTGTAAGTTGTCTTTGAATTCGAAGTTCGATAGGAAACAATACTTCTACCCAGACCTTCCAAAAGGCTATCAAATATCCCAGTTTGATGTTCCAATTGCAACTAGTGGTTATATTGATGTGGACCTTCCGGTTGAGTTTGGTGGTGGTCACAGAAAGTTTGGCGTTACCAGAGTTCACATGGAAGAGGATGCTGGGAAATTGCTCCATACTGGCACTGGGAGTTATTCTCAGGCAATTCGTCTATCCTTGAAAAAACTTGGTGAAAATTGTTTGAACATCATTGTTGAATCATAAATGCATTTGTCAAGCTTTAATATTATTGCATATCCTGTGTTGTACATTTCATTAGGTAGATGTGGAAATGTAAGGGTGGGGGACTGTGACCACGAAGTCGAAGGTTCTCACTTTGATGGGAGATATCCAAGAATAAAAGTAGTCATGAGGTAGTAACTGGCAGTTAATTAGTCTTTGGTTTGCATGTATGGTATGGACATCAGTTTTTGTATGATTGATGCATTTTGATGATTTCTAAGTAATTATGTTGCAAAAAGTAACTTTCCGAATGCTCTATCCACAATGTCAGCAAAATTGCAGCTTTGTCCAGTGCAAGTCAATATAATCTATTACGAAGTTTGTATTCTTGTGCTTTAAGTTGTTATAGGATTCTTATTTTAAAAATTTCTTCTTATTTATTTTTAATTTTTTTTTCCCTGGAACAGGTGGATTTGAATAGGGCTGGAGTCCCTCTCCTTGAGATTGTTTCTGAACCTGACATGAGAACTGGTATTGAAGCTGCAGAATATGCTGCAGAATTGCAAAGGTTAGTTAGATATTTGGGAGTCAGCAATGGGAACATGCAAGAAGGATCTCTTCGCTGTGACGTCAATATCTCAATCCGTCCAATTGGGCAGCAAGAATTTGGTACAAAGGTAAGTAGGTGCATTTAATCGTTTGCTTGTTTTGTATGTTTCGGTAAAAGTTTAAAAAACAACCTTCTTCGTTAAACAAATTCATGTACAATATCATACTGTGAAGTCAAAACTTGTAATGTCAATCTAGTTCTCTGTACGAGAATCGTCTGGCGTGGAGGTTTTTAATGTGCAATATCACAGATTCAGTCTTGTTAAGCACTGGTCTGGCAGATGGGTTTAGGGTTTAGGGTTGGTGAATATTATAACCACTGGTTAGCTAATAAAAATCTGTCTTTTGCTGAGTCATGAGACATATGTTGATCTCTGTTTAGTAAGATTCATCATGAACGTAAAGCAATAAGTGCACTGGTATCACGGTTTAGCAGTTTAGCACCAAATTATGCAGTCTAAAATTTTCAATTTAGCTGCTTATTGCCTTTGCATGATTAAGCTGCTCCAATGATATGGATTGTCTAGGCATGCATTAGTTTTGGTTCGGTGGAAGGGTCAGTTCGTGTTAGCTAAGCCACTTGTATTTGTTAACAGGTCGAAATAAAGAACTTGAATTCTTTTTCATCAGTTGGTAGGGCCATTGATTACGAGATATCAAGACAGGTGCTTCTTCACAGTCAAGGTCAGGCTGATCAAATTGTACAAGAAACCCGCCTCTGGGAAGAGGGCGCCCAGGTTCTACTGCATTACTGGATATTCTAATCCATAAAACAGTTGGTCTTTTGCACCTTCTGGAAGTCAATTGATATGTGTAAACCTTTTTTCTTGTAGAAAACAACAACAATGCGGAAAAAGGAAGGACTTTCTGACTATCGATACTTCCCAGAACCTGATCTTCCCGGAATTTCCATCACTGAGGAATATGTCGATGATATTCGGAATTCTTTACCTGAACTCCCAGAAATGAAGCGTCGGAGGTATGAGAAAATGGGTCTTAGTATGCAGGATGTTCTTTTCCTCACCAATGATATAAGTGTAAGTTCTGCTTCAATTGCAATTTATCTATGTATAGTTTTGCTTTGGGGCCTTTGTGGATTGAAGGATATATCGGACATTATTGGCCTGTGATCCTGCTAGAACAACGGCACTGAGGTTTTTGCCACACTTTTCTTTGCAAAATAATGCCGTAAAAACTTGCCCTGGTTGCTGAATATGAAAAATGAAACTGAAAAAATGGACTGAATTGTTGAACAAATCCAGATATATTTTGATACTGATATTTATGCAAGTTATGAGCATGCTCAGCATCAAGGCATCTAGAAGTTTTTAGTAACTTTCAAATAGTTAAGCACTTTGAAATTTTGTTCACCAAAACATTTGTCTCAGATGATTTTAAGCATCATGATAGGGTTAATAAATAGTAACCAGAGGGATTAGAGTTCCTCATGTGTTGTCTTAAACTGGAACAATATCAATGTTCCTGTTGATGAGTGCTATTCTTGACTATGTTACGATAGTTGGATTATCTAAGCCGTGTCCCTATTTCAACATTGCTTCTTCTAGGTTGCAGAATTTTTTGATGCTACTATAGCAGATGGTGCTGATATAAAGTTGGCTGCTAATTGGATTATGGGCGATATTGCTGCCTACTTGAAAAATGAGAAGTTGTCAATCAGTGAGATTAAGCTTACTCCTCAGGAGTTAGGGGAGCTTATTTCTTCCATTAAAGGTGAAACTATCAGCGGAAAGATTGGAAAAGAGGTAATGTAATGTATTGTACAATCTCAAAATGATTGTGAAAGCTTACTTCTGATGGTTAAAGTTTTCATTTTTCAACTCAAATGACATTACATTTGAATTTCTTTTTTGTTGTGCTTTTCGTTAATGATTATTCTTACTTTTACAAATATAGATATTTTGTTCTTTAAATGTTTCTTCTAATATATCTCAATTAAGGCGTTTTATTTTGATACCGTTTCAATCCATTATACTGCTACTCAGACTGCTTTGCTCTTCTTCTTTCTTACCCGTTTTAGTCACTGTATTTTGCTGAGTATTTATTAGACTTTGTGTGCTCAGGGATGTTAAGATGATGTAACATTAACAAATTCTTGCACTGAGAAATTCCCTAATGCCAACAAAGAAAGGCCTCAATGAGGAGTAGGCAGTGTATCTCCTGTGGTATTGAGATTCAGCTTTCTTGATTCCATTTTCTCAAATTCTGCAGATATTGTTTGAACTCATGGCTAAGGGTGGAACCGTTAAAGGATTGATAGAAGAAAAGGACTTGGTTCAGGCAAGTCACCTGTTCATCTACTTTGTTGAAAATGTTTTTTTTTTTATTTATTTTTTTTATGTTTCACATTACTTGAAATTGATCAATTTTCCACAACCTATTTATTTCGTCATTCCAAGTGGTAGGCTATTATGGAACCACAGAATTTGTGTGCCTTGGTGATGTATATTAACGTGTTTATACGCCTGCTTTTGATCTTGACTTTGTTATCATTCTATTTGTTTCCTTCAAAACCAGATTACTGACCCCAGTGAGATAGAGAAAATGGTAGATAAAGTACTTGTTGATAATCCAGACCAGCTTGCAAAGTATCTTTCTGGTAAAACTAGGTTGCAGGGCTATTTCGCTGGCCAGGTATTACAACAGAATTTCATTTTTCTTTTTTCCTTACCATTTAATAAATTTCATGCATTAGTTTACGCATACAGTGAATAATCTCGCTCAAAAACTCTTCAGGTAATGAAAGAATCAAAAGGCAAGGCAAACCCAAAACTTTTGAACCAGATACTTCAACAAAAATTGGATGCCAAAAAGTAATGCTCCAAGTTGCTCCAACTGAGACAACCACAAGCGCCCCCTTTCAGATTCTTCTCCTGTTCTCAGTGAGTTGAAATTGCGGATTTTGGATGAATTTATTTCTTGTAATCAAGTCAATATATATATTTTATTTTTTGAAGAAATTTGTTGGTATGACTTTGTAAATCTGCTTTTGCGCAAGCTGTCTACCATAGCAACTGAATCCGATTTGTAGTAATCCCCCTCGATCTATATACTGAATTACTGATGATGGATGATGCATAGTCCTTTTAGATTAAATTGGTATCATTTTGTACATCCACTTCAATCTTAGAACATCTTCTCTGTCCCGTGATATGATAAATCTATTTCCAATGTTTCATTTGTTTATTGGTCAGATTGATTTAGAAAAACACTTTGCTACATTCCCGGTGCTCAATTCAACATTCTTTCTCTTTTTTAAAGGTTAATGTCCAATTTTCAAGTTTATATTCTTTATTTTCTTTTCAAGAAATTGATTAACTGACTTATCTGGACGAGGGAAAACATATATCTTCGGATTGGAATAACACGTATTTATTTCCTACTTCAAATTCTACCTTGAAAGTTCGCAAAGACTACAAAAAAATTGATGGCCATCCAAAAAACCTGCCTCTCACCATTTATAACATATCCAACGTTGCATGTTTCTGCATGTAAATAATTTTGTCAAACCCATGAAAGCCTAGGGAATTAACAGCCTCACATATTTCATTGCCAACTTGTACTTTTTCTATCTTTCTACCATATTCTCCATCTTTCGGGAATCAGAACAGATCGGATAGAAGTGGTGGAGCAGGTGGTGGCCGTGATTATATATGGTGGTGGTGGCTGGTGGGGCCTTAGACCATGGTAGGTGGGACCTTGCCGGCACGTAAAGTGATGGTGGTCGCAGACCCTAGCCGCGAGTCAGCCGCTGCCCTTCAATATGCGCTCTCCCATGCTGTGGTTGAGAATGATACATTAATTCTCCTTCATGTTGAGAATCCTAATCATAGTACATGGAGAATTCCATTTAGTGCAATCTTTAGGAGGCCCTCGAACGGCTCCGTGGCCGCCTCCCCAAAGAACGCCTCTACATCCATAGAAGGCGTCATTGGCGCCGGTGGAACCAATGCAGGTGCGGGAGGAGAAGGTACCATTGATTTCCTCGAAGCGATGAAGCACGCATGTGTGATCGCGTACCCAAACCTAAAAGTTCAAACAGAAAACGTGGGAATGGATGGCAAGGACAAGGGCTCTGTGATTCTTGCACAATCTACAGCTCATGGGGTTGAACTCCTTATTGTAGGGCAAAGGACATCCCTCTCTAATGCGATTCTAGGGTAAAGTTCTCGATCTGTTATCTCATTTTTAGCATATTTACACAAATAATCTGCTTTTCCCTGAGTTGAAGGAATAATGAACTGCTAATTGTAGCAGCCATTTTTGGCTCCTTGGCGAGTTTCCATTTCCTTCCCTGCTTGTTTTTTTTTTTTTTTTTTTTTTTTTCCCTCCGAAGGAGGAAAGAATCCAGAAAAGAAAAACATGTGCAGATAATCGCAAACCTTAGTGGTGGATGCTCTGAAGAGGGATTCTAATGTCTCGGATTGAAAATTAGAAACTGATCAATGGTGGATGCTTTGAAATGGAATTCAATGTCTCGGGGTTTGTTATACAATAGGAATCCAAACCAAATATTGCCTTATTAGCACAAATGCCCATAATGATTTTCCTGCGTGCGTGATGTACTATTTTGAGACGGAGGGAATATTATTCATAAGTCAAGCTCATAGTCTGCATTTTTTGTTGACAGGTCTAGGCGTAGATCATTACGAGGTCTCGATACAGCAGAATTTCTGATCCAGAACAGCCAATGCACCTGTGTTGCAGTGCAGAGGAAGGCTATGGGAGGATATTTGCTAAATTCCAAAACTCACAAAAATTTCTGGTTGTTAGCTTAAGTTGTACTCATGTACTCTTAGAATGTTTACTACTGTATGAAGTTTGTAAATTGACTTGGAAATTTTTCCCTGAAATGACATTTTTTCTTACAACTTTTACTACTTCTTTTGCAGCAAAATAGATGCACATACTATACATCCAAATACATGCTAAAATCAAATAGGTAGGCCATGTGTGACTTTACACCCACCCCTAAAAAAAAAAAAAAAAAAGAAGCAAAGAAAGTGTATCCACTACTCTAGTCGATTATGTTTCGAATACGATCTACTCTGCAAGTTGTATCAGTTTTGGAAAGCTAAGGATGAGCTCGGTAATAATAATGCTGTAAAAGATTATTTTCAAAATCTCTAGTTCCATAAGATGCTGCAGAATGTTTCAAAGCTCATCATGCATATCCAATGGTACATCTAACAAGGGAACAGCTTCCTGATTTACTTGGGGAGGCCGAATATTTACGGCATCTCTGCCAACTCTGGGTAAAATCTCTAATTCTTTTATCGTACCAGTTCGTACAGCATCCATAAGCTTCCTCTGCAGCTTAAGTAGACCAATACGCTTTGAAACGACATACAGAACAGCAAGGGTAAAAAGTAGGAACCCAACAACGATGATTATCCTGTCAAGAACAGCCAAGCATCAGACTGGTGACGAAAGATAAGAAGTGAAATTTTATGCTTCTTTGTTTCTTTTTTCAGTACCTGTCAAGGACATCCTGACGTTGCATAGTGGAAAGAAGATTCCGGGTTCGCATAAGCAGTGACCGGTGACCCCGATACTCACTCTCAGCTTTGCTTAATACTGTAGTTGATTCATCTGCAGAAATCAACGTTATATCATTACATTCCATATCAGTCCATTAATGGAACAGCCAGCAACTGGTAACAATTATCAATTTGCAATATAGAAAAGTGAATTCCCCGAGAAAGAGTATCAAATCTAGAAAAGAACTTACCAAGAGTCATAAGAGTGCTTGCACTTCTTTCAACTTCCTAGAATAATTGAATAAAAAGGTGAGAAAAACCGGCATCTATATAAGGGAAAGAAATGACAAATACAAGATAGAAAGATACTAAACCTGAACCATCAGCTGGCGGGTGCGCCGAAGGCTTTCTGTGATGCTTTCAGCAGCAGAGGTCATCCCAGCTTTTGTCCTAATAGGTATAGGTATTATCAAAAATACAATTCAGAAGCTCATTCCAATTACCAAACAAGCTATCAGTCTGAATTTGCTGCCCAGAATATTAAAGCTCTTTGTAAGAAATATAGTTAACGTACTGTAAATTGCGACGCCGGGCAGTAGACTCTCCTCCACCTCCCAGAAGAAGCTCTCTCTGCCCAAAGACACCTTTTCATTTAGCTTTCTATACATATTATCATCTACAATGTATGATTATTAACAATAGATGGCTCCAAAATGATAAGTGAAACCAGTTACCTCTTGTTGAGCAGTTCTTTTGAGGTTCTCCTTCGCTTGCAGATTTGCATGTCTCAGATTCAACCGCAAACTAAATGTATAAGATTGGAGAAGAAAATGAATAAATATCACAATGAGAGCAATATCCAACAGCATGTCTTTATCATACAACAACTACAAGTCTCAAATCATATAACAACAGAATAAGTGCTAAAATTTCAATTTTCCAACTAATACAAGAGTCACGATAAACTAGGACGGACTCATAATCAGAGATGTATACGCTGAAGAAATGAAGTGGTGTGCCACAATATCTGCAACCTTATACAATCAAATTAGATGTCTAAATTTATGAAAACATTCCCAACATCAAACAGTCACATTTATTGTTATTGATTTTAAATCATGAATATTGCTGCTACCACAGAAGTAGCTACACAAAGTAAATATGCATAAACATGTACCACGATAGTGATAGTCGTTCACTATTTAAAACCATGCGCTTGATGCGGTCAATTTCACTAGACAAACTAACAAATAACAGCAATAATACTAATTGCAGTTGCAGAAGTGAAATAAAAGGAGATTCCAATCAAAGGTTGTGGCAACAATAATTCATTAAAGCACCCTAAAACACCTGAGGTGTATATGTGATTGTCACAATTGCCACTCCCTCACTCACTCCTTCTCAACTTGGTGTGCCTCGTCTAGGAGAAAACAGGCAAATGGACATCAAGTCATTAATTTAGGCAGGTTTAAAGATATCTAGGAGACCTAACATAACAATAGCTGACAGTCCAAACCAATTCGCCAAGCAAAAAATAGGCAATTCCTGAAATCAGAATATGCATTCCCATCAGAGGGGCACTATCAACCACCATCTGAATGATAATTTAACATAAACATTTCGAAATTCTTGAACTTATCAGGCCATTATCTAAAAAACATTTGCAGATTCTAATCATCAAAAATCACACAAAAAGGAAAAGGGGAAAAAGACTACAGATTGACTGAGATGTTTAAAAATGATCAATAAATTTCATTGCTTTCAGAGAGGCTTTTCAAATATAGCAACCAGCATTTCAGCATACACAAAAGGCCGAAGATGCAGTTCATTCCAAAAATGCAATTCAGTACCAATACTTAGTGTAAAACACACTCATCATCAACCCGTAGACACCCATAGAAATGAAAATTCCGCCAAATCATACTTGTATATAAAAGCGCATTCATTTAGAAAGCATGCCAAATATCCATCACATTCCAATTGGATAATATGTTTCCACAACCATCTCAAAAAGCACCGTAAAATTTCAAAAAGTTTCGTTATCATTTAACAGCAATCACAAATGGGGTAATCATGAAAAGGGTACCTCTGGATTTGCTTTTGCCAAGATTCTGCCAAATCTTGAGCCTGCTTGACTTGATCGTCGACTGGAAGCTGAGGCGCCAAGAGGTCAAGCTGGAAATGCAAAGATTGGAGGGAACTCAAGCAATCTTGAGCCAACCCATTTAATCTAGGCAATGAATCTTTGCTTTGCTGATCTTGTTCTCCTTGTTCGGAGGATAAACTTGCACTGGATTTCCCATATCCTTCAATCAATTTAATGTGTTCCAAAATCTGCTTCTCTGTTTCTTCAAAATCCCTCTTCACTTTCTCAACTTCCTCCACCACTGGATCCATTTCTTTTCTATTTTGAATACACTTCCTCTCTAGGGATTCATCAAAATTGTATCACTGATTCTCTGAATTGAGTTCTAACAAACGAAATCCAGAATATGCATTCTTGCTGACGGTTTTCTTCCAATCAAAATTAAGTATCCGACAACCAGCCAAACACAAAGTTTTGTGCCGCGACCAATAAGAATTGGGCCCTTTGATAAGGCCTGTATGTTAAAAATTATAGGCTGGACTCAAATGTTTATTTAATTTAGCCCATGGACTGTGAACTCCCGGTCCGCAAACAAAAATGAAACAAACAAATAAATAAACTTATTCATTCTCTTTAATGTGGCAAGTTGGAATGAGCAAAATCAGTCCTCCTACCCTTCCATAATTATTGTTCAGTTTAATTAAAATAAAAAATTTATTTTTAATCAAATTTAACTATATTTTAGCTTAGACTATCCGAATATACCCCTGTGTATGTAATTGGAAACCCTAAGCCTTACTTATTGATATCGACTACCCAAGGGGTTGAGTCACCTGTAATACTTTTATCACTTGAAAATTCAACTCAGAGCTTCTCGATTTTCCGTCCTCAAGCAAAATTCTTCATAGCTTCTCCATTGTTTAGTCACCCCGCTGCCAAAAAGGGATCCATCATTCTTTAATGGGGCAAGTTTAGAGCCAACAAACAGCTCTCCATCCCACGTGAATGGCTGATTGATGATTCCACTTGAAGAGCGCCTCAATCTTGTACTGGTCTTGATGCCTCGTCACCGCAGCTTTAAGCCGTCGGAGCTTCGTTTTGCTGCTGCTATTTTGTGCTGGGTTTCGTTTCGTCAAATACTGGATAGAACGGGTTCCAGTCAATGGTTGCTTTTGACTAAACGGGTAAATTTATAACTTAATCCATAAAAAGTCAAATCGAACAATAATTTTGGGACAAAATTTTTTTGCTAAACTGGACAATAATTATAGGACAGAGGGAGTGTATAAATATTTTTCACTTAGTTGTATTAAATGGAAGATTTTTATGGAGAAGAAGGAGTAAATTCTTTGGATGAGATGAGGTAAAAGTATTTGGGTTAAGTTAATAAAACAAGAATGCAAATTTCTAATTTTTAGCTTCATATCAAAGCGAAAAGGATTATGTATATCTCTGTTAACATCACACTTTACGAAATCGATAAAATTAATTAATAATTATTTAATTTATGCAAAATTCTCTCAAGTACTTGATTTTAACTATATATAAAACAAAACAAAATGTGAGTTGATCAAATTCGCGAGAGTTTGACCCGATGTCTGCAGGTCGGACACTCATATAAGCTTAGCTATTTTGCATCTCGGAAATAGTTGAATCTATGAACACCCTGAAATGATATGCTTTGTTCGGAAATGGTAGTTTGGTTGATAATTTAATCTCTAAAAAAGTAATCACACTTATATAGTAGGTTCAAACTTCTCACGTTTCTTATATGGGACAAAATTACATTAACTCTCAATTTCCCAACTCTACAAAATTAGAATAATTTTACAATAATTACAAAATTACATTAATTTTACTCTAATTTTATTATCATAAATAGAAACAATGTCAAATCTAACTCAATTAATTCTTTGGAACAGTTGGGATATCTTTTTTTTTCTTCTTCTTTTGGTTTAAAAGAACTCAGAGGACCTGAGTTTAACTAGACTTGAGAGATACCATTTGAATCTCTTTCTGTAGCTATTACATCAGAGAATATATAAAATGGGTCTAGAAAGATTCTTGTTGTAAATATAGGACTATTCGGATGTATTCCATATCTAAAGAAAATCATACAATCGGGTGATGATGGTTGTGCTGCTTTACCCGAATCAACTTGCACAATTGTTCAATTGTTTGATGATTTAACTTCAGTAATATTCGACAACAGTTACTACGTGAATTCAATGTCTGGAAAGGGGCCGTTTAGGGTTGATACTGAAAATGCCAGTTGATCCAAGAACAACTTCATTTGTACAACACTTCACTGTAGATCATGATAGTTTTTTCAGGAAATGAAGTGTTTCAACTGAAAAATAATTTCTTAATTAATTAATCATCAACAGTCTGAGGCTTTTACATTCACCATCATTGTCGCTCTTCGTTTTTGTTTTTCATTGGCATTGTTGAAACATCAAATTGAAAAAACACAACCTCAACTGTTGTATCGCATAATTGGGCCAAACAAAGCCCATTTTGAGTCCACTAATGGGTAGTAAAAGGCAGCAAAATCTGATTGGGGCTACCTGCTTTCAACACGCGTTTTTGCCACAAAGTAGAGAAGAGAGAAGAGAATATTTCCAGCAAGGGTTCCACTGCAGCAACATCTGAATTCCTCAAGTTTAGAGGGGCAATTGTTGTTCGTTGGTCATGAAAATTGAACTGGAGTTACAAGACTCATCGATCTACATCTCCACCAAAGAGTTTTGGTTTTCGTCGATTTGTCAATTTTGTACTTTTGAAGTTGCTGCTAGTTTTGTGGATGTTTTAGCATCCTTCGATGTTGTATTTATGATTCTAGTGCCTTTGTAAACTTGTTAAGGGCTAGAGATCATTTGGTTATTGTTAGATTTTGTACTCCTACTCTTATTTGGTGATTAGTGGATTTGATAGGCCTTTTGGTCTCGTGGTTTTTACTCCTTCGCATCGAAGGGGGTTTTCCATGTAAATCCTTGTGTTCTTGTGTTTTTGCTTTGATTGTTGTTTCGTTGCTGCAATACTTCCATTTGGCCTGGTGTTTTATGCTCCTGGGGTATCCTTGCAAGTCAGGGATTTTTATGGTTCTTCCGCTGTAATTTAGCTAGCCGAATTTTGGGATACAGAAATCTTGTTACTGCTATAACTATTCTGTTTGTAAAGTATCTAGCTGGATTGTGGGATATAACTAGCTCGTTTGCTGCAATAACCATTCTGTCTGTTAGTTAGCTAGCTACTTCCAGTTCTAGCTAGACAGTTTCTCTGATATAGTTAGCTACTTTCACTTCGAGCTAGTCAGTTTGCTACAAAAAGCTAGCCAGTTTCAGCTAGTCAGGTGCTGCCTCCCCAACATGATGGAATAGGGAAAAAAAAAGGGTCCTTGATAAACGAGGAGGAGGATGCTGCTTGGTTTGCATTAAAGTTACCCTATTTTCATCTTCGATTCTTATTTATTGCCTTTCCTCTATTTCTTTCCGAATCGGCAACAATAATCATCATGCACACCCAGTCCGCCCGCCGCTCCTTTCTCTCTTTCGTCCCTTCACATATATAAGGTTGTTTTTCCCTTGACTCTTCACAGCTAAAGTTCATACTCCCAATTCCAAAACATAATTTAACCAGCTGTAAACTCCTAAATACAATCCTTAGCAACCAAAACAACATGCAACAAAAAGAGAATCAAGGTTCAACTATGATATGAAGCTCCCTAAATTTCCCATACGAAAATAGACACTTCCAAGGATTTAATGACAATAAATTCACCTCTTTGGCTCTAGATTGATAGTCCTAAATCATCTCAGCCGCTGCTACTTTGCTAGCCGAATAAAATGCCCCAAGAATCTTTGCTTCTTCACTAATTCTCTCCTTCTCTTATCTTTCCCCTCTCAGGAGAAATGATGCACTAATTCTCTCCTTGCTAGGCACTGGGGGGAATGGTAAAGATAATTATATTGATTGATGGTTGATGAGTGATTGATGAAGAATATCTTTCTATTTCAAGAGTACCTTTTTTCTCATCGTTTCCCTCTTTTGAGTTATTCCATGAATCAGACAGGATTTCATTAATTAGATATTAAGTAAAAAGATTTAATAAGAATAAATAGATACGCAATTCTTTTTTCTTTGCAGTAGCTAGATGCTCTGAATGTCCAGACAAGAAGATGTCGATTTACATTTTTAATTATGACTGAAATTTTTAGTGAAGTGAGAGCATGAATCGATTATGTAAAATCATTTTCATGATGCATGAGATCAAAATACACCAAGATATATAATAAAACTTTATATTTATGATAAACATAAATAGTCGTTCTTTACTTATTAATATTACATTCGGGACCAGCTTTCGAACTATCAGTACAGTAATCAAAATATAGATGATATTTTCTGTGATTTGCCAATTGAGCTTGTTGAGAAGCATTCAGTTGCCAATATGGGATTGCATTCCAGTAGAAATAAGAAGTGTCACCGGAATAACAATTTTGTTGGTCTTGATCATCGTAAGCGCAGGCATTAATGGTGAAATCTTTGTAATTTGCTGTGAAAGGTGCTTTACTCCAATCCACGCCTTCTCCTGCGAGGCTAGCATTCCGAATACTGGCTTCAATACGCACTCCTACTTGACTAGGAAATTTCACGCCTTGTTGTGTTGCATTCTTCCATACTCTTATTGGCTCCCCATCCACAAACCACCTGCATTTTCAATTACGCAAAATATGATTACGTTCATTTAAATTAATACTTTTATCGTTAGAAAATAAGAGTAATATCTCCTCTGTTCTAAAATAATTGTCAATTGAATAAATCAAACATTAAATGGAAAGGTTCGATGTATTTTGTATACCTCGAGGAAATAAAAAAGATTATACATTTTCAATTTGGGTGTAGTTATTACCAAAACAATTATTAGCATCCAAAACAAATTATTAACTTTCTTCCAAAATAGTCCTTTCCAAGTCAAACTAACCTTTTCTATTCCCATTCCCTTTCTCCTTTTTCTTTTTTTTTTTCCTCTTAGGAAAAATAGAAATTATCTCTTCTCATTTCCTTTTGGCAACATAATAACAAAACAAATTATCGTAACAGTGAAGCACCTAAAAGATCACTCCACAAACCAGTTTTCACTCCTTAATCGACATTTTCTTAGTCTTCGTGAAGCTTATGAAACTAAACTTTTTTTGCATTTTTTCCCGAATCGATCCACCAACCAAAAATAGGGAGGAAAAAACTACCTTAAGGAACAACGGAATAAGAACTACTAGAGCTACTAGAAAACTTAACACAAACCATGGTCTGATAAGAAGAAACTTGATGCATCTTCAATCTTAAACACATAAGGAAGAACAGAATATCTTAACTAATTGATGTAAAGCACTATAGAACTAGTACATGCAGATGATACCTTTTCTAAAATGTTCATGAACAATTAAGCACTATCGCACAACGATTGGCTCTTCAATGTATCAGCCCGACAAAACTTCAAAATTAGATTAAACCGGTAATCCAACAAAATGCAGTCAGAATCCCTTTATCCCTACTATATAGATATCACATCTTATCTCAAAATTAATTTCAAACTAACTAGATGAACAAGAAAAGGACACTATTACATTCTTGGATTTAGAATCAGGAGAAAAATTATGTCTTAGGGTTTTTGAATTAATTCACCAGAACTTTTTCTTTATGAAAACTTCCATATGCTTGATAGCAATGGATGATAGTCCCGTGCGTAAAGTTATATCTATCGATTTGTAATCTCATGCGGCATAATCTTAATTTTGGAAGGAGATGGATGATAGGTTTTGGAGGGGTGGAGAAGGAATAAAAAAATTTTGATAAGTGATTGTCATAAATAAATTGAATTAAGCTAGAGATTGAAGTTGGGATAGAGAGGAAGTTATATTTTAATAGGGAAGGGTTATTTTTGGAAAAAAGACCATTACTTGTTTTGGATACTAATAATTGTTTTCGCAATAAAACACCCTTTCATTTATATGAAATCAGTAATAAGTAGATAAAAGTTTAGGGAAGATTTAAAATCTATCATATGATGTAATTAATATAGACGATTTGGGCAAAACTATAGAAAATATTGCGACCATTTGTCAATTGCGCGAAACTAGATGATTTTCAACACATTAAATGAATCCATATTTTTTACTCCAATAGAAAGGGAAACAAGATTGAAAACCAATCAACCTGCAAAAATTACTTGGAGAATATAGTACGTGTGATCAAATATCGTCTTAGGAGGCTTTTTTCTTTAGAATAAAAAAAGTTCCAAAATGCCAAAAAGAACCAAAAAAAAAAAATGAAGAAGAAGAAAAATCGAAGCACGATTGTTCAGTCACTATATATGCATGTATCGTATGCAATGGTATAAATCATACGATTATTGCAACTTAGCCTTTGTTCTCTTTCAAAATTAGCAAAAAATGTTAAAGTTTCCGGATACATATGCACACAAAGACTGAAATTCACTACAATTAATTTTGAAAATAAATATCAGACAACATTAACCATAATACAGAATATTAACAGTGAATAATTAATGGGAAAAAAAGAAGAAAAGTGTTGGAGAAGGAGAATTGAAATAATTCTTACACGATCTGGTGTTCGTTCCAAAGAATTTGATACTTGTGAAAATCATCACTTGGATTGAACCAAAGATTAAATTGTTGCTCTTTATTACCCGGATCATTTGTAAATATATTTGTACTTAAATTTCTCCCAAAAATCTCAATGTCGACCTCGAAATGATTCACGCTTTCGACAGACTTGCCGTATGGGATTGATGTTAACTACAATTCAACATTAAGAAAAAAAAATAATATCAGGAATAATTTTCATTAAATTGATCATCAATGAATAAATCGAGAAATTAATAGATTTAATTGAATAATAAAATGTACATGATATGATGTAACAACTCCTTCAGTATCTTGGTTAGGAGTCTTCAGGAGAATTTCAAAAATGCCAGAACCAAAATTCGTCTTTGAACTAAATCCAGCTCCTACAAAACCCAAACCAACCACAATTAATCTTGTCAATTAGAATACGAAATTGTTATGATTTAAACATTTTGAACTGAATATTGATTGGATCTAGGAAATTGCCATAGTCTCATTAACTACATGATACAACACCACACTCGGACACAACTCTTACGTGTATAGAAATGATTGTAATTGTTGAATCATTGACAGAACTTATTCAGCTGGTTCGACTACATGAAAAACACTCATTTTGTGTAATCAATTTCTTTTGTTTGCTCTAAACCGATAAAAAAAAACAGAAAAAAGGAGAAAAAAAAACTCGTGGATCTTTCATTGATATAAATGAACAACGAGAATATAAATTTCGGATGAATATAAATTTCATTGATATAAATGAACAACGAGAATATAAATTAACCAACCTGAAGTTTGGTCTAATTGGAGTTGAACGCCAAGGCCTTGGTCAGTAACAATGAGATGGTCACCTCCCCAAATTTGTTTGTAGTTTTCATCGAATTTGTCTTCTGCATTACAACCATATTTTGGAGTATCCAAGAAAAGAACAAAAAGAAACAAGACCAAGAATGCCAAATATCCCATCTTTTTTTCTGTTCTTCTCTATGATAAAGTTTGATGAGTTCAAGAGGATCGTATTTATAGAGTGCAAAAATCAGCATTCTTTTATGTATAGTAATTAATTAAAACGTAATATATCTCATTAATTTCACGTAATTAATTTGTAATTACCATCCCAAGAATCTGTACCATTTTGCCCGTACAAAAAATGGCAACAAATTAATTGGAAGATAAACTCTGATTTCACTTAATCTGCCCAAAAAAAAAAAAACAATGAGGATATGAGCGAACAAATTAATTACCAAAGAATATACAATGTACTCGATTTAATAACTGCAGACTAGGAGGAGTATGTAAAGAAAATTCATTTCAGCAATATTGTTGGAGATTCTGTATGTGTCTCATTTCGAAATGTTACAACAAGATTATAAAAAGAACAACGTATTAATAAAATTTTAATGTAAATCTCATGTTGTAATTTATCTATTTGATTTCATGAAATTAATTTCTAATCACCATTTTCTATGAATTTTCACTGTCACCCTGTCAGTGTGGATTTTGTCCATTTTATTAAAAAAAAAAAAAAGAAAAGAAACATCAAATGAATTTGAACCCTGATTTCAATTTTGATCTAATAAGGCCAAAAGAACAATGATTTCCTTCGTGGTATGGTCACATTTTGTCGAGTTATTTTCTCATCTCATATGAGTGCAATAAGTTTATGTAAAAGAAAAAATAAATAAAAATTATTGAATAAATCAAAATGGAATTAATTTGAAACTGCTAGAAGGAGTATGTAAAGAGAAAATAAAATAAAAATCATTTTAATATTTTTCTGTCTCCGAAAAGCTACAACAACTCAAAAGATCAAAATAAGTGTATTAATAAAATTTCATAAATCTCTCCATCACAAGGTTTTCTACTTATTCACCTCGCATTCGGGACCAGATTTTGAGTCGTCAGAACAGTAATCAGAAACCATATGTTTTTCTCTGTGAGTATTCAACTGGGCTTGTTGACTAGCATCTAATTGCCAATATTGTTTCCCATTCCAGAAATAAGAAGTCTCGGAATAACATTCCTCCGGGTTTGATTCCTGAAAAACGCAGGCATTCATTGCGAAACCTTTGTAACTGGCAATGAAAGGTGCTAGACTCCAATCCGGTTGTCCGGAGAAATCCCCATGCCAAATGCTAGCTTCAACGTGCAAATGTAATTTGTTTGGAAAAGGCACTCCTAAATCCGTCGCGTTCTTCCATATTCTGATTGGCTCTCCGTCTATGAACCACCTATATTTTTACATGTAAAATCATTGGTTATAATTGTGATCATCAATTTCTGGTGTCGAAAATTTATTGACTCCGTGAAAGTCTACAAAATGATTACAAGAAAAACAAATTGTATCATTATTCTCCTCTGTTATGGAAGGGGTAAATAGGTTTATAAAATAATAATATATAGAAAAATTTGTAATCGCCTATCCGTAGAAAAATAAAAACATATATATATATATATATAGATTTTAAGAAGCATATATAGTTTTTTTTTCTTCATAGAAAAAAGCATATATAGTTAATAATTGGTCATCGTCTGAAAGAGTTTTCTATAGCGAAAGTATTTGCTATTAATAATTGTATAGAATTTGAAGGTTCTTATGGTTAAAATAAAAATAGTATGTACAGAAAAGAAAAAGGAAGTTAAAATTAGAATTACAAGAAAGGCATGTGGCTGTTAGCCAAAAATACTCAAAAGAGGCACCAGATTGTGTAAATCTGATTACGAAAGATTACAAGAATTCCTTTTTCCTTTTTTTTTTTTTTTTTTATTCATTCTTTAGATCCGAAATGGGAAAAAGTTTTTCATTAAAAAATTACGCCATGAAACATATATGCATATATTTGTTGACCAACGTTTATTTATTACCTTAATTACCATTTCAAAATAAGATACCTATCACATCTCATTTTCTCTTTTCAGAAAAGAAAATTTTTGTGTTGAATTTTTTGTGTTATTTAACAAATATGATTACAAAATATGATAAAATAAAACCAATATATATTGACGTTATTTAAATAAAAAAAAAAAGGGAGATTCTTACACAATATGGTGTTGGTTCCAAAGGATTTGATACTTGTGATAATCAGCAGCTGGATCAAACCAAAGCTTAAATCTTTGTTCTCTGTTACCCAAATCATTTGCAAACACATTCGTACTTAGATTGCTCCCAAAAAACTCAATGTCAAACTCGAAATGATCCCTGCCGTAGACCGGTTCGCCGTATGGAATATCAATTAACTATTATTCAAAAAAACAAAAAAAAAAGGTTATAAGAAATAAATCCATACGCACAGTTTGAGCAAGAATAATTTTGAAATTACAATTATATTATATACTAATAAATAAAAGTTTAGAACAGAATGTGGGGTTTACATAAAATGTTGATATAACTTCTCTAATGTCCTTGTTGTCAGGAATCTTCATCATAATTTCGAACAAACCAGAACCAAAATTTTCCTTTGAGCTATATCCAGCTCCTGCAAAAAATAATTAAAAAGTAAATTAATTGGTGTATGTATATATTTTTATTTACATTAGTCAAAGAATATTAAGACTTTTTTGTGTATTCTTTTTTTTTTCTTTTGGTTGTTCATGAATAATAATAATGTTTTTTAAAAAAAGGATAGAAAATCATAAAATAGAATTACTTAACCTGACTCTTCGTCCATTGACAGATGAACACAAAGGCCTTTCTCAGTGACATTGAGATGTTCTTTTCCCCATGTTTGATAGTAGTTTTTTTCAAAAGGGTCTTCAGCTTCACATCCATATTTTGATGTGGTAGAAAAAAGAATTAAAAAAACAGAGAATATCAAGAATGCAAAACGCTTCATATTTTTTTTTTTTTTTAATTTTTGGTATAACAAATTTTCTCAAGTTTTTGAGATGTAAAAAACATAACCATGATCAAGTATTTTATAGAGGCAGTATGTACGTAGTGGGTATACGTTTGTTACACTAATTAATTAAATTGTTGGGTGGAGATAGAAACTTTTTGACTAACATTAATTTTAGAGTGGAAATTACCATAAGCAACAATTTGTAGAATGGGATTAAATTCGGATTCAGAACAAAAAAAAATAAAATTGAAAATTCCAGCTAGTTTCTTATTTATTGAATTAAACAGAAAAAAACGCATGGAGGGAAAAAGTTTTTTCGGAAAATTGTGTAATATAGAAAGATTGTCCAGTATTTCTTCTAGTCTTATTATTTACGAGGTAAAAATAAAAATTAAATTAAGGAGAGTTTAGTCCAAATTAGTTCCAGTTTAAATTCGTGCTTTATTTATAAGCAAAGAGAGTGTGTAATTAGTATCACATGAGGCGCAATACAGAAGTTTTACCAAAAAAATTGAGCCTTACTAGGTTGAGACGTTGAAAATATATTTTATGTTTTCTTTGTAGTAGTATATGATTAATTTGTAATCACATATTTCATTTTTAATTTTAGATTAATCTCTTGATGATCAGATTGTATGATTGCTTCTGGTAGACAACACAATTCATGGCAGTCTCCAGTTCAGGCCAAGTCTCCATTCTTAACTCCAGTTTCAAGCCACTTATAAAGCATGATATATATGAAGTATCTCTCATTCACTAAGGGATTCTTGTACACCTTTGTTTTTAGAAATTCTCTACATATTCTTCTTGTAACGATCCAAGTCTATTAAAACTTAAAAGCTTAACTCCTTCCGTATCACAAAAATAATTCAATTTATTGTAGTACTATGAGGCTTCACATAACAGTTCCCATTGTCATTGTTCCTAAAAAGCCTTTCCTTTCAATTGGAGCTCTGCTACTTCAACCTTTTCTTGATAATCAGGCATCTGGTGCATTAATCCCCGAGGAATCAACTCAAAATCACATTATAGAAGTATTTCATTAGTCTACGACCTAAGAAGCAAGATCTTACTCACTGAGTCACTGTTACACCATAAGGCAAGTTACTCCAGATGTTACTCACTGTTGCACCATAAGGCAAGTTATTACCGCCATACCTCGTCATCGTAATGTTGAGAAATCTGACCTCAGAAAAAGATCTGACACATGTCGAACCCCAAGGAATTGATCTAAATGCGAACTATTGACTTAAAACCTCCTGTTCATAAAAACTTAGCACAGAAAACTCCATAATCTAACCAATAATAGACCAGCAAAAAGAAAGTATAGAACTACTGACAAGATATCCAAGAACAGAGTTGGCATCGTTATACAAGTCAGTAAAGGAAATTTAGCATAGACATCAGCTCTTTCTTTTTTCTCTCTCCTGCAATACCAATAATACAAACAGTCGGTCTATGTATAGATATGACAAATTTTTTATATACAGGCCAAGACCAAAAGCTCATACAAAACATTTCTGAGCCTACCAGGAAATCACCAGTACAAAAGGACTCGAGGTAGAAAACTACATCAGTAGTTGGAAGCTTCTAGTCCAGCCATTATCTTTGAAGTTGTTCGATACTTAAAGCTACACATAGATTACCTAAAAGGTGAGGTAAAGCTACATATATAGGAGAACCTTATCTACATGAAGATGATACTTGAGCGAGAAATCTGATGTGCAATGGGTACGCTGGAAAACAAAAACTAGGCTGCAAAGTTTCTACATTCAGATTTCACAGGTTCCATCTGCAAGAGAAATTTGTAAACATTAATAAACATGCCTAATATTGAGAAAAACTCTACTAAACGCTACTCGCAACTCTCAACTAAGTCAACTAACATACAGCGTGATAGGGCAATATTTTTTCACATGTATACAAAGGTCTCATTTCAACTTATGAAAACTACAAGCACTGAATTATTACGGAAGAATGTACAAGAGTAAAAATCATGCAGGAAGCAAGAATAAAGGTATAATGACAATCAATCAAGCAGCAGCACTCCTGAACTAAAGTCCAACCTCTATGAAGCTAATGAGGGGAAGGAGGTCAGTCCAATTTGAAGTTTAAAAAGGCTAAGGAATTGTTCTTTAATTTTGGAATAAAAAGCCTTCACGCATATTTTGGATGCATATACAGTGAGGATACAACCAGAAGGAAGAGTGACACAGCATCTACTATAGGAAGTTTACAAAAACATGTACAGGAAAATGAATTTCATTACTTCAGCAAAAAGCTATTGACCAGAAGCATTCTGAGAAACTAAAAAACAAATCCAACTTATCAGGAAAGGAACAATCATTCTTGGTTAACAACATTTTCTGATCACAAAAGAGGCAACCAAAAATGAGCCATGATTGCACAGAAACTTGTGAACAAAAGAAAAATATGCTGCATGATGAACATTTTCACACTGCATTAATACCAACAATAATAGAACAAATAATGAAGGATAAAGATGGTAAGATAACTCTTAGGTCAAAACAATAATGATATAGTTTCATGATATTATGAATCGATGAGCCAGGAACACCGCCTACAGATGTTTGAACAACCGGAAAAAAAATAAAAAATAAAAAATTGAATCAACATATCTTATGGCATAAAACTAACGAAAAAATATGCCAAAGAAAAGCTCAGAAGAGTGGATTGGGATGCTGAGCGGAAACACTTCTCTGGATGCAGGAACAAATGTTGAATCTAAAACGGGAAGCTCTCAAAGGTTATATATTACATATAATAGCAGAGAAAACCTCAATGACTCCACGAAAGCAAAAGTCTGAATCTAATGAACATAAATGATCTCTACAAGAAATTCACTCAATAGAACGTCATTAACATTATCTTGAATTACTGTATGTTGTGAGATGCTCAACCTAGAAAATGCATATCGTCATGTTTTAAACATGGTACAACATTCATCTTCACACTAATATCAATTTTGTCATCAATCACTTAGGCAGGTTACAACTTTATACCTAGCAGTTATTGAGATCCTCCGAGTTCTTAGCATAAGTTGGTAATGTACAAAATAAACAATAATGCGAGTGTAAATCTACTATCTCCAAAAATGTTTAGATGATTATAATATTATTGACATTCACGACTTACCAAATGCAATGCAGAGTTGAATTATCAGATATCATGCGTCAATTATAAAGCTTACAAAGGTTTTCATGATTAGATTTGCAAAATTTAGTCAAAGACCAGTTCAGAACTTTTCATTCCCAAAAGTATGATAAATAAGCCCCTTTACCACAGAACAGAAACCAAAAAAGAATCCAGAGATCTTAGAAATAAATGGTGAACAAGGTACAGCAGATATTACATCGAATACAAGATCTCCATATGGAGTTCAGTGATACACAATTAAAAAGACACAAACAGAACCAAGTCGTCCAAAAATTTCCTCTAGAATATAAGGATCTCACAAGCAATTGTTTTGTAGATACCAAAAGCCCTGAAGTGTTCAGGATTAACTCCTGAAATGTGAGGGAAGGATCAAGAAAACAAGTTTACCTGAGACAACCTTGCCTTCACCCCCCCCTCCTACAAAAAGCAACAACTGCAATAACATAACTTAATTGCAGATAGCAAGTTTTCCAGTGCATTCATCTGCCACTCCATAGTCGAGGCTGATTTCCCTTAAAGGCGGAATATTCTCCATAGCAAACAGCATGAGATGAGGGAAAGAAACATTATTGTGATCATAGAGCACTGGTTGCACAAATACATTAGGACTTGAGCTGTGGCTGATGTAACATGCTACATTCCTCAGTCTTGAAACATCCATAGCAAAATCCAAAGGTGGAATTTGGGGATATGTTGGACGCTGATAATCTGGGCATATATCTGATAAGTCACCCCATTCGGCCCATCTTTCACTAAAGCGACCTGGATAAACCAAACTATCTCCATTCATTGTGAGAAGTTGAGCTTGTTCCCTTGTGAGAATGACTCCAGTAAATTCACATATAAATGCACCAGCCTGGATCAAATCCAATGATCTGACACCCCAACCGGTCTCTCTCGATCTAAAGACCTCAAATCTATTCCTTACTCCTTTTTGACTGACCCGATTTTTGCAAGAAGGTGGACATTTACAATATGGTCCACACTCAAAAACAACTGGTTTTCCCTTCACCAAAATCCCATTATTGTCATATGCAAAATCTCCCCCATTTTTCAGTGAACAAAAGCAACGATCAAAACAGCCACCCACACAATCACATCCAGTTCCTGTCAGACCATTGTTGTGCACATAAGATGGAAACATAGTAGATGCAAGATACTCATAAAAGACAGGTTCATTGTTCGTATCTACATCGTTGAACAGGAAAACAGGTACTCTTTCTTTCTTCAATGAAAGGTCCAGACTAACATAACCCTTTGGCCTAACCTCCAAAGGCCTTGTCCGAAGACTAGCAGCAAACTTAAGAATGGAACTGCCCATCTCTGGTTGATGTGGGATTCTGACAAGCTTATACTTAAATACCCCAAATCCAGACTTGCCCACATCAAACCAACAATTAACAATTCTGTACAAACCATCATAAACATATACCTTACCACTAACACTGCCCTCATATCTGAAGCCACGAATCACCCTCACCTCAATTCCATAGTTCATACTTCTCTCCAAAGCCAAATTCCCACATTCTAGCTTCTGATTCATGCATTGTCTGTTATTCTTGTCTTGACCACCATGTCCTGTATATACAATCTCCTCTCCAGTGTCCTCATCATCCTCATACCCACCTGAAACAATCACACTCGTGGCGATGGGCTCTCCATTCGAGCTCTGGCTAGCTGGAAGATAATCAATTCCAGCTTGAGGCTGCCCATGTAACCCAATCACACATAATTCCATCCTGAAAAAGAACACATCACCAATTTCGATACCCGGGATGGGCCCAACTATCCTCTTATCACGATTAAGCCATAAATCACGCTCCCTGAGCAAGGAAGACGCCTTTATATCTCCTCTAGCCCTCCTATACGGAACTTCCAAGCTCCTGTTTTTCTCACCCTCAGCTATAGATAAAACCCGAATCGAATCATAAAGCAAACGAGTCTTTCTAACTATATCCCGAAAATATTGAATATCCTCATTGCTAAGATCAGTAACACGCACTAACTCACCTGACCTCTGAGTGTACTTTCTTTTCGGGGCGGAATTCACAAGAGATGTTTCATTCTGAGCGCCGACAAGCTGGGTCTCGTTCTCAGGATTGACAACCACAAGCGCTCTTGAGTAATCAGGGCTCTCAGGATCAGCACCAGCACCGTCTCCACCATTTTCACGTCCTTGAGCAAAAGCATTCCGGAACATTTCAGTGATTCTGCAAAACTCCGAGTACACATTAGACGAATCTGTCGAAGGAGAAGGTAGGGATTCTGAGTTAGACATGGGGCTCGGAGCACTGGGAGGAACATTGATTCCGGGAGGTGGGTTTAACACAATGCTCGAACTGGAATCGAAGCTGTTCTGGTGACTAAGATAATAAGGGCTAGATGAATTGAACCGCGGCGAACGAAATTCATCCAAGGGTTCATCCAGTGGCTCAAGTTTAGGTTCTTTTTTAGGGATAATAAAAGGGGTTGCCGGATTCTGACCGCCGGTCGGTGAGGAAGACGACGAAGGTCCCAGCTGAAGATTCAGGTCCTCAGAAACTGGGATTAGGGAACCCATTTCCCAAATTTTTCGTCTTTCCCCCCCTCTCACCTAAGAATGGAAAATTCAAAGATTAGTTCAACAAACTTTCTTCCAAAAGAATTGGGTTTTTGGGTTGGGAGGTGGAGCAAAATGGGATTTCACGACATCAGAAAATACTTTCAAGAAGAGGGGATTCGGGGAAAAATTTGGGTAGGGTTTTGGGAAGAAGGTGTGTGAGTGTGTGTCTGTTCATGGAGACTGAGGAAATTTACAGAGACAGAGAGACAGGAACTGTTGGCATTGGAATTGGAATACAGGAAAAAAGCTTTTTTTTCTTTAAGAAATGAATGAAATGAAATTTTAGCAAAAGAGATGCAGGAAAGACAGTAATAACCGGCCGTTTCGTTCCCACAATTTGGCAGAACTGCCCTTCTTGAGATCAACAAAATGGTAAATAAGATTTAATATAATAATTTTTAATAACAAATTGGCCACTTTTTTATAATTTAAATGTATATTTTATATATTTATTTTAAAATTTTGTACATACATTTTATAATTTTTTTCATGAAAAAGATTCAATATATACACGTAACTTTATCTTGATAATAATAAACCTATAAATGATTTTTCTAAATGAATTTTCTCTAGTAAATAGAGAAATGAATTGCTTCTCAAACATTGGTAGAAAACATTTTTTGGTGGTTTATTGGAGGTGACAATGTACAAAAATCACTCGCAGAAATTTCCTAATATTGGAAAAACAATTTCTGAGGTGATATGCTCTTCAAGAATATGCTTACACAGTTAATGAGACACGTTTTGGATCTCCTATGTCACTTTTTGTGCAATTTTTTATGAATCTTTTTTATTTAATACTAGATTTTTGACAAAATAGCATGCGAAATTATAATTAGATGAGTAATTAAATATCTTAAATATTTAAGATCTTTACGCTATATATATAGGCAAAAGATCTCTTACACCATAATCTTACACCACTTCCAACATCATTCACTAAGATTTTGACACATGGTCCTGACGGGTCATCTAATGGTGAGTAAGGGTATTAGTAATTTTTTAAAAAAATAAAACAATAATTATATTAAAAAAATGTGACAAATTTTATATGGTGGTTATGAAAATGTTGTAGGATTGTGGTATAGGAGATCATTAGCTATAATATATATATATATATAATGAGAAAATCATAGTGAATCGGATCTTTTGGAAAACTTGTGGTATTATAATGCGACGTATATTCTTATAATAAATACTAACACACTATCAAAATAATAAGTGAACCTTAACGAGTAAATGTAAGTGAACCTTAACGAGTAAATGTATGTAAGATATTTTTCCAGCACGAATTCGGATTAGTCAATGACTCCGAACATCGAATGCGTAATATACCAAAAAAATATTTTCACATATTTTTTAGTTTAATTTAATGTAATTTAAAATTATTAAAATTATATGTTAAAAATAATTTTTTTAAAAATTAAAACTAATACTTAATTTTAAAAAATAAATTTATTTATCATCCAGTTACCAACTATAGTAATTATGAGAACAATTTTAGATTGTTAATATGATATTTACTCACAATAGGTCCTCAATTATTTTATCGAAATTCAATTGGTCAGTGCTTACCCGAACATCAATTGAGTTATAATATTTTTATTTTCGCGCACGATTGTAAAAATTTAAATAATTGCGGCAAAGAAAAAACTACGCCATAATTATATTTCTTTATGAAATTAAAATAAATGTATTATTAAGCTAATAAATTTGACAAAAGTAGGACAAATCTTAATCATATTCTAAATTTCGAACCACATTTTTACTTCAATGTAATTTGAGGGGTTCACTACAATTAAAATTAGCAATTGAAAAATTATACTTCCTCTATCCTAAAATAAGTGTTATTAGACAATTTATACATAGTTTAAGAAACTCTTACATAATGTAGGTAAATTATTAGATTATCATCAACCTACCCCATTAAAGAAATAGTTGTCATTAATGCTATTTTCTTTCGAGGATAATTTTAGAAAAGTTAGACAAAAAGTGTATTATAATCCAAAATGACACTTATTTTAAATTTTTTTTATTTTACTAGAACGTCACTTACTTTTTTCATAATGAAAATAGTAAAAATTGAAAATGGATCAAACGAATTAGTCCCTTCCCAAAACGAAATTAATTGCGAGTTAAAAATTTCTCATGTGTTTGTTCTTACATATATTGGAAACCAAAATGATGCCTTGGTAAAATGTGATACATGATTAGATCTTTTTATCAAAAGATTTATATTTTTTGGGACACAGAAGATATAAGGTATACTCAATATTGATAACCAATATATTCATCGTTGATTCGGAGATAATGAGGTGGGACTCACTGCCAATAAGCGGTGGTAGTGCACCTTGTCATATATGGGACCCACCAGCATAGATGGTAGAGACCCACTACATGTGTAAGCGGTGAATTGTCAACCTATATATAAAGAGTGAGTTTGGTCACTTCTCACACGTGAAATTTTGGAAGTTTCGTTTCACATGTGAAATGCTGTATCAATAATTTAAACATTCAATAATTTAAATGTATATATTATATATTTATATTAAAAATTTGTATTTGCAATTTATAATTTTTTTCATTAAAAAGATTCAGTATATACACGCAACTTTATCTTGATAATAGTAAACCTATAAATGAATTTTCTCTAGTAGATATAGAAATGAATTGCTTCTCAAACATTGATAGAAAATATTGTTTTGATGGTTTTATCGAAGGTGAAAATGTACAAAAAGCACTCGCACAAAATTTCCTAATATTGGAAAAGCAATTTCTGAGGTCATATGCTCTTGGAGAATATGCTTACAAGCAAACAAGACGCATTTTGGATCTTCTGTGTTACTTCTTGTGTGATACGTCATAAATTTTTTTCATTTACTACTGGATTTTTGACAAAATAGCGTGCGAAATCCTAATTAGATGAGTAATTAAATATGTTAAATATTTTAAGATCTACATGCTAAACATAGGGGCAAAAGATCTCATACACCATAATTCTACACCACTTCCAACATCATTCACTAAGATTTTGACACATGGACCAGACGGGTTCATCTAATGGTGAGTTAGGGTATTAGTAAAAATTTTAAAATGAAAAATAATAATTACATAAAAACAAAATGTGAAAAATTTTATATAGTGATTTAGGAAATTTTGTAGGATTGTGGTGTAGGAGATCCTTAGCCATATATATACAGAGTAGAAAATCATAATAAATCGGATCTTTTGGAAAACTTGTGGTGTTACAATGCGACGCGTATTCTTATAATTAATACTAACACACTATCAAAATGGTAAGGAAACCTTAACCAGTAAATATATATAAGGTAGTTTTACAAAATATATTTTGTCATATTTTTTAGTTTAATTTAATTTGATTTTAAATTATTAAAATTATATGTTAAAAATTTTTTTAAAAAAATGAAAATTAATATAGAATTAAAAAAAAGTTTACTTATTATCCAGTTACCAACTATAGTAATTATGGCAACAATTTAGATTGTTAATACGATATTTACTTGCAATAAGAGCCCAACTATTGTATCGAAATTCAATTAGTCAGTGCTTATTCAGGCATCGATTGAATTATAATATTTCTACTATCGCGAGCGATTGTAAAAATTTAAATAATGGCGGCAAAGAATAAATGATATAGTTCTGGTCACGTCTCCGGAAACTACGCCATAATTATATTTATTTATGAAATTAAAATAAATGTATTATTAAGCTAATGAATTTGACAAAAGTCGGACAAATCTTAATTAAATTCTCAATTTCGAACCACATTTTTACTTCAATGTAATTGTGAGGGGTTTACTACAATTAAAATTAGTAATTGAAAAATGGTACCCCCTCCACCTAAAATAAGTGTTATTAGACAATTTATACACGCTTAAGAAACTCTTACATAATGTTGGTAAATTATTAGACTATTATCAACCTACCCCATTAAAACAAATAGTTATCATTAATACTATTTTCTTTTGAGGATAATTTTGGAAAAGTTGGACAAAAATTGCTTTATAATCCAAAAATGACACTTATTTTAGAATTTTTTCATTTTACTAAAATGTCACTTACTTATTTCAGAATGAAAATAGTAAAAAATTAAAAATAGATCAAACAAATTAGTCCCTTCCCAAAACGAAATTAATTGCTAAGTCAAAATTTCTCATGTCTTCGTTTTTTATATGTATTGAAAACTAGAATCATGCATTGGTTAAAGTGTGATACATTATTAGATCTTTCTAGAAAGAGGTCTATATTTTTTGGGACAAAAAAAAAGTACTCCCTCTGTCCCAAAATTATTGTCCAGTTTGAGATTTCACTTTTAATACAATTTAAATTAGAAATGAAAAACCAAATTGGACAATAATTATGGGACGGAGGGAGTATAAGGTATACTCATACTATTGGTAAGCAACATGGGCATCATAAATTTTAAGATAATGAGGTGGGACTCACCACCCATAAGCGGTGGCAGTGACCTCGTCATATATGGGACCCACCAATATAGATGGTAGAGCATACATGTGAGACCCACTACATATATAAAACACTAAATTGCCGACCTATATATATAAAAAATGAGTTTCGTCACTATTCTTTTACATGTGTGAAATGTTGTATCGCTAATTTAAACATTCAATACTTTTATTTTGTTAAGTTTTATTTTTTTTTAAAGTCATCTATGTCCTTCACTTTTTTTCAATTTATGAATTCAATTCATTTCTTCATTTATTTTATACAGTAATATTTTTACTACATTAAAGTGCTAATTATTTTACTACATTAAAGTGCTAATTATTCGTGTCAAAAACTATTTGGGAAAATTTTTAAAAAGGGCATCACAAAGATCAATATTATTATTAAGGGTATCTTTAAATTTTATGATTTTTACAAATTAGATAAATACAACTAAATTTTTCTAACAATTTAAAGACTATTTTAACCTTCCTATTACCACATTAATTTAACCCATTCTTCTTCTCCAGTGAACACTAATCGACCTCTCTCTTTCTCAACGAAAAGAAACAAAAAAAAAGAAGCAAAAAACATTAATCGCTCTCCTCTAAATTCAGAGGGTTAGTCTAAATAATTAAATTAAACCAATCAATCCGAGTGGCCATGTTCTTTTAATTTGTTGATATCTCCTTTTCAGATTAGCTTTCATTGTCTTAATTTCTTGAGTTTTAATTGTGGGAAACATGAACCCCAATGAAAATCATGATTTTCATTAGAAATTTACAATCGTAAGAAAATCCAAACCGGTGACCTATATGCAGCAAGTTGTTTATTGCTGCAATGATTTCGATGCTTGAAATTTGTTCAATGAAAGG